AGTTGGAGATTTAAGAATTGTTTGGGATCCATTGCCAATGGATTTTTGGAATGGACCTAATTTAACATATCGAATATATGTACAAAAACAAGGTGAAAATCGACAAACAACTTACACGGTACTTGATCCACTAAGAAATTTTTTTATTTCTCGTCTGAAGTAAATTAAAAATGAAAATTATAAATATAAAAATATATAAATTCTTTTTTTTTTCTTATTTTAGTGCTGATAAACTTTATTATTATCCATATAATATTCGTATTTCAGCTGTTAATGCTCTCGGCGAGGGACCCGTATCTGCTAATGTAACAATTCGTTCAGCTGAAGATCGTCCAGCACGACAAGTACTTAATGTTAAATGTAGTCCATATAATAGTACAGCAATGACTGTAACATGGGATATGATTGATGAAAATGATTATGCTGTTTTACGTGGTCGTTTACTTGGTAAGTAAATAAAGCAACGGAGTTGATCAATGATGAAATTAGATCTTCGCGAAAAATTTCGTTTCTTCTGTGTTAAACTCTTACACATGGTGTCCAACAGTGAATTTTGGTGAGATTAGCTCTATAGCACTTGTTTGTGTTGTGCTTAGGCCGATTGACATAGCGGATGATGATCATATGTGCAATAAACCCGGTTATTGATAATAATCAACTTTTTTATCTATCAATTCGATAACCGGTCAGGTTATTTTTCATGTTTCGAGCGCTACAAAATGATATAAAAATATCAAGAAAAATTTGTAGGATACTATTCTACAGACATGATTTTATGTCTTATTTTCATTGGTATTTAGTAGATTTTGATTAGGAAAAGTGTGACCTGAACGAAATTAATATGATATTTTAAGTTGGCATTCAAGACTAAGTAGACCTATGTGATTTGCAAGTATTTTCATCAACTTTTCTTTTGCCGTCGAAAAAAATCGCCTCTGGGTCACCTTAAGAACAAGTCAACAAAAATGAATTCTATCAAAACGTAGTTTTGATTGTTTAATTATATGCGGTTTTGAGCTCTACTGTCACTTTACAATTTTAAAACTTCATTTCTATTGTTGAAACAATTTTTTTATGGAATTCATCTTTTCGACGAAAGACATGTTCATAAGAATATTTGAAATTTACGTAGGTCTACTCAATTTTTGAATGCTGATTTAGAATATCATATTAGTTCCACTTAAAGTGAAAACAGGTATAACATGTTGTCTCTACACTAGTATCCGTAGAACTTTTCTTAGGAATCAGAGCTTTTGTTCTCGATATTTTTATATGATTTTGTAAGTCAACATTAAAACTAGCTGGATCAATCATCAAATCGGTAGATAGAAAAAAAGCTGATTATCATCAACAGTCAGATTCAGTGTACATTTGACCATCATAAACTATTTTAATTGACCTAGGCACAGCACAAACAAGTGCTATAGAACTAATTTCATTAGCAATCATTTTCGAACATCATGCATGAGAATTTGACACAGAAGAAGCCAAATTCCTCGAAGAGACTGATCTCATCAGTTATCGATCTTCTTCCTTTTTTTGTTTTTTCAATTATTCATGCTTTTTTCTTTAGGTTATACTGTTCGTTATTGGCGTAAAAGTGTTGATGAACTTCAAAATTATTGGGAACGTCGTTTTCCAGGTCAACGTTCACGTGCTATTATAATTGGTCTTGATTCAAATATTGAATATGCTGTACGTGTTTCTGTGTATACACAATTTGGTGATAGTCCTGAAAGTAGTTATTTTTCACATCGAACATTTCGTTTACCTCCACAAACTCCACCACAATATGTAACTATCCGACAACCAAGACGTGAAAAAGATAAACGTGTACGATTATTTGGTGATGTTTATATGTATAAATTAGAAGTTGAATGGCGTGGAATATCAACAACAGCAGATGAAGAACCATTAGAAGGTTACATGGTAAGAAGATTGTTTCTTTCTTCTTTTTTTTTTTTAAATTTAAGAAAAAAGAAAACTTGAATATTTGTTTAGGTTAAAGTTTGGGAACATTATCAATCAATACGAAATGCAACAATTTATTATGTTGATGGTTCAAAATATAAAATGATAATTGATAATTTATATAAAAATCGAAATTATAAATTACGTGTTCAAGCTTGGTCACTTGGAGGTGAAGGAAAATATTCATCACCAGAAAGAGAATTTCGATTTGGTAAGTTCTATATTGTCATATAACTGTATTTCATTTCTTTCTCTATGTTTTTTTTTTTCATAGATAATGATGGACGTTTGTTGATACGTAAGTTTATTTATTTATTTTTAATATATAATGCAAAAGTTACTGGACAAATGTTAGCTCCTATTTCTCTTCGATAGAAAGGCAGGTCTGAATATCAACAGAAGTTGTACTTCGACCAATAGAGTAAAATATTGATTTCCCATAGTATTATTTCTATATCATGTGAAGTGTTGTTCATCATTTAAAATAACATCACAATTATGAGAAATCGTTTTGTGTCACTTTCACACAGTTCTTTGTAGCCCTTTTCTGCTTGAGCTTTATTGTCTGTTTTTGAAATGTTTCAACGTTTTCTAATAATAGCTGGTGTTCTTTCTTGTAAATTATGGCTGAGTGTTGGACAGTTAACTTTGAAATGCTTAACTAGTTTATGCTAAAGGTTATCTTAAAGGTTATTAACAGATTTCATCAAATGTTTTAGATCTTAATTAGAAGGTTTTACTGAGTGATCATTCCTTGGTAGAAATTTTCCAGGACAATAATTACAGTTACCGAGAAGACCACAAGCGATACTTTACACTGTCGTGTCATACAGTTTACGGTTGTAAATAGCTATAAATTGACATTTGGTAGGAGCAGTATTATAACTGTATTTTATCGAATCGTACATAGTTAATAACGTTCGTCAAATCGTATGAAAATCTAGGATACGCTCGGTTTACTTGACCTCAGATCGTTCATCCATATTTCAAATATTTGTTTGACACTTAATAAACTGTTGTTCTTGAAATGCATTGGCTTATAAAAGAATTGACTACTGTCTTATGGAATTTAATTGATAAGTCAATGAGAAGAAAATTACTAATTCGTTGTGTGAGTATTTCTTTTTCGTTTCGTGTAATTTTTTTTATGAATATATAACAAAATTACGCTATATCGAGCTCAGAAGAGGAACAAATACCCTATGATCTGGTCAAAAAATTCTTGTTCCAACATACGCTTACTAAACAAATATAAGACTGCATAAGTTTCACTATTATTCTGCATTTTGTGACAAATGCAGATTTATTTTACCGGCATCTCATTTTACTGTTCTTCATTTTGATTATGAACCTCTGATAAAATTAATGTATATAAAATACGAAAGAAAAATAGAAGTCAACAATTGTCCAATTACTTTTGCTTCATGAGGGATGTTCTAACTCTGTATTTTGTTTCTATCTTTGCTGTATTCAATGGTATTGAATGTATATACAATTCAATGGTAACCTCTACGCTATCAATCGAAAAAATCTAGCATTGATTTTGCATCAATGCTAAGAGAGAGAACAACATTAATAAAAAATTTGGCAACATTTTTTTTTTTATTGTTTCTATATTGAGATTTTAAAAAAATGTACTTGTTCTTATTCATTTGCTGCGAGTCACTTCTATGGCTCTGCTCTGCTCTTATGGTACACTATTCACGTGAGAAAAAATTCGTACTTGTATGTCTTTTTCAGACGTGTGAGTACTGTTGTAGATTAATATAGCGCTCAAGCTCAAATCAGTATCTCTAATATACACACACGAGTAGGAATTCGTCTCTCATGCGAATAGTGTACAATAAGAAGAGAACCATTAAAGTGACTTGCAGTGAGTAAATGAATAAGAATGGTTGTTATTCGTTTTTTTTAATTTTGATTAAAAAAAAAAGAATAAAAAACGGCTTTGTGAAAAATTTTATCGATGTCATTCTTTCTCTTAGCACAGATACAAAATCGATGCAAGCTTAGCGTAGATATTGCGCTTGAAGTATATATGTCGTATCGAAGTTAGCATGTTTATCGAAGTTATAACTTCGATAAAATTTTTATCGAAGTTACAACTTCGATGCTTCCTCTTATCGAAGTTTAACTTCGATAGAATTTTTTTATAGAAGTTACAACTTCGATGGCAGTGGTTATCGAAGTTACAACTTCGATGACACTTGTTATCGAAGTTNATAGGAACAAGTTATTACAAAAGTAAGTATATATTCTGAAAGCGCATGAAATTCTCTATCATCCTAAATATGTATGTCTTTTTTTGCATTTATTCACTGCAGCAAAGAAATGCAAGATAAGACATAAACATATAGGATACTAGCGAATTTCACGCGCTTTCAGAATATATACTTACTTTTGTAATAACTTGTTCCTATATTAAAAATATTTTTGAAAAAATGGATGAAGAAACAAAATGCGTTTCCAGGGAATCTGGCGATGAGGATACCTTTGTTGTGCTTGAATTTATTTTTAGCAAACAAGTGCAATTCAAAACGTACATATATAGATTTGTAGAGAATTCCACAGGCAATCCGAATATATAACTACGTTACTCAAAATGTTAATTTATAATGATGATATATCAAGAATATCGTGTGACACTATTTTTTTCCAGGGGGATATGATATATAGTAGTATCGCCAAGTTATAAAAACCAATTTCTTATTTGAAATATAACTATTAATTACAAAGTGTGTTTTTACATCAATTTTCTGATTTTAACCTTTTGTACTTTGAATAAATCATACATATTTTTGCTTTCTTATAATGCAACTACTGTAGGTATTTCAATAATTATACTATTGTTTTTGCACCTGAGAAAATGATGATCATACAGAAACCTAAGAAAATTTTAATTATTGTTGTATTTATTCTCTGTCGAAAGTATGAAAATCACAAATTCACACATATATATACATTTAGCTTCTTGAAAACAATAGATATATATGATAGAGATTTGTACAAATCAAAAAAAAAATTCAACAATGGTAGGATAGAACATTTGAATTTAATTCATACCTAGTATAGAAGATCTTTCTTAGTTTCCCAATGACTATTTCATAGGAAAAGGAAATGATCAATTGAATAATGTAAATTTTTTGTTTAGAGACATTCAGATTGGACAATACCAGATTCAGAATTTGATCAAAATGTACCTCGAAATAGTATTTGGTCACCAGAACCTGTTCGAACTAATTCAAATCCTAGTTTTCAACGTATATCTTCAATTTCAACCAATTTCGTCAAATCAAATGCGTGGAGTGAATCAATAAATATTTATTCAAATTCAAAAAAGTACATCTATAACATAAACTTAAAGTTCATTATACCATTAATATATTATTTAATTTATAGGTCACTTATATCACCATATTATAAAGCTATTCTGATAGGCTTATGTGTTAGTGTATTAGCTGGAGGTATTGTTCTTGCTGCAATTATGACTGTATGGTTAAAATCAAGTAAAATTATACAATAAAACAAAAGAGTTACCATTTTATGCATTCTTTTTTAGGTGTAGCAGTCACTACTACTACTACAGGCACGGTTACAAGTTTCATTCACTTTTCATGATGTACCTTTTATTTATACTTCTAGCAACTACGACAACTTCAGTAACCACTACTACAAGCACGTCAACATCATCAACAAGTTCGACAACTTCATCATCAAGTACTACGAGTTCGACAACTTCGTCAACAAGTAGTACAAGCTCGACAACTTCGTCAACAAGCACTACAACTAGTACCTCTGCAACTACTTCAACAAGTACGTATAGAATTCTCTTATTATTACCAATGTACAATTGAGAATCTACAGTTTTCATTATTGTTATTTTTAGCTACTAGTGTCACTACAACAACTGTTGCTATTAACATAGTATATTCTGAAAGTTTTACAAGTGGCATCACTCCAACGACTCAATGTACTGCATGGACAAGCTTTGTTGCTCAATTAACAACTTTACCCTATACATTATTAACAATGAATGGTACATTAGATTCAGTTGGAGTCACGATAACTGATTCTGCTGTGATAGCTAATATTGCTTTAGCTTTACGGACGTCAACTTCATATGGACCAGTGACAACTAATGGTCGTTTATGGGCAGTTGGTGGTTGTGGAGGTGGATCTGAATTGAGTGCTAGTGGCTCTATTTGTTCGTGTCCAGGTCCGGATTATATTGTTCGACCATGTATAGGTAATTCAAACTATGATGGTATCAAAAGTAGTACTTGCGGTGGACCCAATCAAGTAATGTCTGTAATATTTCAATAATGCATATTTATAAGTTGTGAACATATTATTTATAGATTGTAACTGAACTCATTAATGACTTTTCAAAAATTTTTATGTAGTTTATTGCAACCAATTCATTTGTAAATAAATTAAAAAATATTTTTTAATAATCATCAAAGCCGTAACAGTAATTTAAAGAAAAGAAATAAATTTTTATAAAGAATACAAAACGAGTTCTAATATATGCAACTTTATTATCTTTGTTTTCTTTTATACAACAAAAATAGAAATGTAAAAATATAGTTTATTTTAATAAACAACTTATTAACCGTATAAAAAAAGTCACGTTTTCTTTTTGTTTTTAATTGTACTTTACTTTCAATAGCCAACTATAATTGGTGCTTCAAATATAACAATTATACAACACAAAAAAAAAAATAAATAACAACATGTTTTAATATACAAAAATCATAATATATTTCAAACGACAATTTACATTCATCATTTATCAATAAAATGTAGGTGTCAAGTAACGAAAAAAAGAAATATGTATGATCTCTTATGCTAATATAATAACACCTTTTTTGTACCGTTTCTTCTCTCTCTCTCCCTCTTTCTTGATTAAATGACAGCACATTCGACTGACTTGAAGCTAGTAAGACAAGAGAAAGAAGAAATAAGCTTTTGTTGCATATATATATATGTACCTTTCCTTCTCACACCATCATCACTCAGTTTAAGACATTAATAATAGCAAGAGTATTTTCATTCTTAACATTTTTTTCGTTCTTGTATACCTTTCTTTACGTGATTCTTTACTACATACTGTTATTTGCATAAGATTTCAGTTGTTCATTGAACTCATTTTCTTATCAAGACAAATCGTTTGTTTATTAATAAAAGAATGCATACTCAAGTTGAATCTCAACATTATCATTATGCACCAAGAGTTTATATTCATAAACGACCATTACATTGGTTTATTATGTTTATTTCCTATTTATTTATTTTTCTTCTTGTTCTTGAATCGATAGCATTTATTGTACTTGGTGCGTGGCATTTAGGTATTCCACGTCTCTATAATGTTCTTAGCTTTTCCGATGATATCTATCGAAGAGAATTAGGTTTCGGTATTCTTCTTGTTATTATTGGATCATTAGGTATTCTAATTAGTATTATTGGTATTATAGCTACGATTACACTACGATTATTAATATTGAAAATAGTGAGCAGAGAAATGTATAAAGAAAATTGAAATCTTTCTTTTTGATTAATTTAGTATGCATCATGTTTATGGTTTATGATGATTCTTGGTATAGCTATAGGGATTATTGGGATTATTTTTGCATGTAAGTTCAAGTTTTATTTGTTTTTCTTCCTGATTTCTTTTTGTATAATGAATTTGATTATGTCTAGCGCAAGTCGATGGCTTTTTGAATGATGATCGAGTTAATAATCCAAATTTATTAGAAAGTAATGTAAGTTTTAACAACAAACAAAAAGAATTCCTTTGCATTAATGATTCTACTATTGATTTTTTTTAGTATAATAAAGAAAAATTTTTATTAGGTATGAATGGTGGTTTAACATTATTTATGAGTTTAACAATAGTAAGTTTTGAATATATTTAAAACATAATCGAATATATATATATATATATATATTTATTCTTTAGCTTGTTGGTATTATTATTGTTCATTGTTTAATTGGCGATGCCAATAGTCATCCGTATATTCGATCAAAATGAAACATATCATCATGAAATAAAGAAACAAAAAAAAAAAGTTGTTTTTCGTCTTCATCAAAATATATTATTTTGTATATATTATGAAAGAAAAAAAAAGAGGATATCTGTCATATCACTTAATTCTATTGCAGTATTATAATCAAACAAGAAGAAAGAATATAGTGTAAGATAAAGAATGTATAACTATCGCATATACCAGAACTGTCAACACTTGATTATATATCAAAAGTACAAAGATATTGAGATAGAATAGGTTTTTTTTTGTTATGCAATAAATATTTATTTGAGAAAGTGTTCGTGTCTGTAGAATTCAAACAGTATGCCATTGACATTTTTATTACTCTTATTAATCAATATAAACTTAATACTTCTAAATAATACATCATCATTTGATTTAATATTGAATATAGACGATAAGGATAATTATTTTCGATTTGTTGAAATCATAACATCAACTAAAAATCATCTATTACCATCTGTTATTATTCTTGATGGTAATGATCATAATCCTACGACAATAAATTCATCATATTCATCATTCATTCAAACTTATCACATAGAATCAGATGAAAATCCATTTAATATTGCTACTATTATTAATCGAGTATCTTCGAATTCTAATTTATTATATGCTATAATTCAAATATCGAATGATTCTTTATATGATGTTATTGCATCGATTTCAATAAGTGAAATAAGATCAAAACGATCATGTAATGATGATTATATTGTTAAACACAATGGTTTAATACTTAAACAAGCATATGTTTCTATTCAATGGCATAACAATCGTGAACGACGTTTTGCTAAGAAATTTCAAAATACAATGTCGAAAAACATCATATCATCAATTACTTTACCTAAAACTATTAAAAATCGAACATTTTCTTCAAATAAAAAAGTAATTCCTAAAAAATCTCGTCATATATATCTTGAAATCATTGCTATTATTGATAGTCTTATATTACATGATGTTCAAATATTATTAAATAGAACTGAATTTGAAACAATTGAAATACTTAAACTTTATTATATTCATATATTTATTGGTGTTGAACAAATCTATCGGCAATCATTAATTCATGAAACATTTGATATTCATATTCGTTTATCAAAAATTATCTTTTCTACTAATCAATATCGTCTACCATGGGAATTATTTAAAAATATTTCATCTCTTACAAATATTTATCGAAAATCACCTAATAACTTACATTTAAGACCTAATATTAGTATGAATCTTCTCAAATCTCTACAGCAAGCTTATACATCAAATCAATTTGATAGACGTTTTTTTACTAATACTGTTGATCATATTATGACATTTACTCGTCTAGATCTTATTGATGGAGCTGGTTTAGCATATGTTTCAGGTCTTTGCTTACCTCTATATAAATACTCAATTATTCAAGAAGATTTTAATTCATTTTCAGTTATGTTAACTGTAACACATGAACTTGGTCATAATCTTGGTTTACGTCATGATGAAATAGAAAATAAATGTAATGATCCTCATAAACGATACATAATGTCACCTAAAATTATAAGTACAATGGATCGTCCTAAAGTAGCTTATTTTTCTCAATGTTCAATAAAAGAATTAAATTATTTTATTAATAATACAACAACAAAATGTTGGAAAAATAAAATCATTAGTACAAAAGATGATAAAATATTAGAAAAAGATAGAAATCTTATTTCAACTCAATTAGGACAAATTATTAATCTTCGTCAACAATGTCAATTACAATATGGATTACAAGCTATTCCATTTATTTCTGTAACATATAATAAAAGTCAAGCATTATATGAAGAAAATATTTGTCATGAATTAAAATGTTTTAAACAACCAACTGATGATTTTATGTATTGGCAAGATGGAGCATTGGATGGTTTAAATATTTATTTTTGGAAACAAAATTTCGTTGATTTTTTTTTTTTCATTTAGGTACTCCATGTGGTGAAAATCGAATATGTCATCAAAAAAAATGTGTATCAACAAATCAGAAAATGAAACGAAACGATTTAGCTCTTTGTCCATATGGAGATTTATTTGTACCGATTCGTATGTTAAATTTAAAAGATAAACTTATGACAGGTAATATGCTTTGTTCCGATGCTCTTAATCTATTACGAGCACATGGAATGAATGTTACGTATTTATGTTATAATTCAATATTACCTTATCAACGCATTTGTTGTGAAGAATGTAAAAAGTAAATAATAAAAAGAAAATTTATATTCTAATTTAAAAGATAATAAAATTGAATTATTTTTGTCATAGACATTTAATACCGGAATGTGGAGATCTTCATTCAAGATGTCCAACATTTGTTCAATATTGTCAAATGAAATTTGTTCGTATTGATGGACGATCTCCTACAGAATTATGTCCATATACATGTGGTCAATGTTCTCATTTACTATCGCCTCCAACCACCATCACCACAACAACAATAAGAACAGTAAATTTTAGACTTTTTCAAGATAATACCAATTAAACGAGCGAAAATCTCAAAGTGTGATACACCGATTAAGTTGATGTTTTGTTCACATGTAGGTCTAAATGAGACTAGACGAAGTTTGAAAGAGTTTCTCCTCATACACTGTCCACCTTGAGTTATGATCGTTTTCCTGTATTTTCTGCCTCAAGCAATTATGAAATTTTGCAAATAGATAGATCCTGCGGTCATTAGAATGTCCTGAAAATTTAAACTTCAAATGATGTTTTCTTCTTGAGATATTAGATGTTGAAGGCACTCGATCTTCTGAACGTTCTTTGTGGACAAAATAACCATTCTATCGGCGAGTCACGATTGAAGACCTTTCCTCGAGAATCTAGTTGATTTCGTTTTGGTGTCGGATGAGGGAATCATTTTAGGTTAGAAATCATGATTGAGATGAGACTTACCTGCCGAGGTAGAGTCTAATGAGATTAGACAAAATCTTAAATAATTCGTCTTCATGGATCTTCCTTCTTGAGTTATGACCATTTTAGTATGTTCATTGTGAAAATTTCAAATTTTCCAGTATCTCCTATTCTGGAATAGAAATATTGAACATTGTGGTAAGTGAAAAAGTATACATTACTCTTATATTGATATCTCACGATAAGAGATACTGGAAAATCTGAAACATTGAAAATGTACTAGTTCTATGTTCAAAGTTGAAATTCAGAAATTTAATTTTGAAGATGATCTGATGAAGACAGCAACATTTTGTTGAAAAACTCATTAAATTGACCATGCATCTAGAAGAAAGAACCAGAAACATAAATCCATTTGAGACTTTGTCTAATCTCACTAGACTCCATCTAATGAGATAAATCTTGTCCCAAAATTGACTTCTAACTTAAAATAGTTGGAACTAAGAAAAAATATGAAAAGATTCGAAATTAAAACCGATGTAATCCTGCTTGTTTCTAATAGGAAATATTTCATCATTTTAGTAAAATCTTTCCAGTTCACATGACTTTATTTTACATTGGGAATTTCATTTTAGGCAATCGTACACACATTGACGAAAAAGGAAAGAAAAATACCTTTGACAAAAGTTCCACCAACAGAACTAGTCAAAACAATAATACTCAAACCTCGAAAATATATTAAGCCTAAAAAATTTACTGAACATACATGTATTGATTCGGTTGATTGTTCTCAATTAATCAAACTCTATTCTAAATTAAATAAAAATGTTAAAAATTGGTGTACTGAATATTCAACTATGATTAAAGGTCGTTATTTTGTTGAAATGTGTCCAAAATATTGTTCCTTATGTAATATAACGTCCGTATGTGATCGATATAAATTATGTAGAAATAATGGTAAATGTATTAAAAATGAATATGGTACACATCAATGTATATGTTCACCATTAAAACCTTTTTATGGTGCATTATGTGAATATCGACGAACATGTTTAAATAAACCATGCTTATCAAAAAATGATATTTGTCTTCAAACTCAAGGTGAAAATTATGTTTGTTTATCAAAAGAACATAAAGAAAAAATATATACTGTTCTAAATTCGATTTCCTCAATTGATCTTAAAAATACTCGAAAGAAAACCTAATAAATTTGTTTCTTTTCACTTATTGAACTTATGAAAAATATAGATGATTGTTTCCGAAAGAAAAAATGAAGTATAGGTAGATAAAGAAAATAAAATGATATTGTTCTTGTCTATTTGTGTATAGTAAAAAGTCGTATTACTCTATACATGGAACGAAAACGTTGAAATATGAATGTGACAACCGGTCAGAACACTGTATCAATTCTCGTTGGGTGTTGTTATCATTAAAAACAACAGTTATTAAAAGATCTTTGATACAGTTGTGTTTTGAAAATGTTAATCAATTGTTATTGAAGGTCAAAGACAAAAATGTGTAGCTTAGACTGTGCAATGGACGTAAAAAAGCGTATTGCTCACATGATATCAAAAATTAAGGCAATAAATATAGAGAGGGTCTCATTTAGGAACAGAAGAAAGTCACAGCAATATTGTTGGTACTAAGTTTTGAAAAAGAGATCAATTTTTAGTTCATCAGTAATCAACAATCATGAATTGAATAAGGGTGGCAGTGATGATGAGTTTCCCACTGACCGTCACTATTAGAATTACTTTTTTTTCGCCCTTTTATGTTATTGATCAAGCGAATGTATCTATACTGTTGAGTAAAGTATAGCCTTTTACACTATTTGCTTCTTTCATCATTTTATCAGTCAAGCAGAATTTATAGTCCCATTATACAATGACTAATCAATTGATATATGAATGAGACTTGTGTAACCTATTCTTTTCTAAAATGAAACTACCTCAATAGTAGTTGCTTAAATTTAAGGTCTCATTTAGGCAGCTACGCACATAAAGATAAATGCTTCTCATCGTTTACAATCATTCAAGTTAAATTGATAAGCTTTCCTCTAGAGAGTCATTGCGATCTCTTTTTCGTCAACCTCGACCACCCACGATTAGCACTTCACTGAATGCAAACAGGAATGGAAGAACCGATGTCAACAAATTCAGCAGTTATTGATTGCGGATGAATTATTCGAACTATTATGTTCCAACACTAAAGAATGGTGTCCATTATACAGATGTTCAATATCAGTTAAAGTTAATCTGCATGGCTTTGTAAAAAAGCGTCAACTATATAAGGTTTTTACTGTATCTGATGTTTTTTTATACAAGTCTTAAGATTAAAATTCATTCACTTTTTTATGACTAATATCATGAATGTCATACGTATACAATTGAAATTCAGTGTGACCAATAGGTGTTAAAATTGAAATCAAATGTGATCAACAAACATGATGAAAGAAAAATAATGCTTTTTTTTCTTAAATAGAGATTGTTTCAATTTCTTTTTTTTTCTTTTAAATATTAAATTCAACAAGAACAAGGAATAGAAAGATAAAATGAAGGCATACAGTTGTATATATTGATGTTAATAAATAAGCCGTATTATATGGTTTTCGATGATGATGCTTATTAGTACCTAATCCAGGTATTAAATAATCCGGACGTGATAATTTCCATTTAGGAGTTATTATTTTCGTACGATTTTTCGGTGCTACAGTTGTATTTAAAGGTGGTGTTGTTAATGGTAAACATGAAACAGTATAATTCGATGTTAAACGTTTAACAAGTGAAACAATAGGAAATTTTCCTTGATTACATGATTGACCTGAACTATCATCAAAATTAACTGGATAAATAAAAATACCACTAAGACGTTGTTCTTTTGCATAATTAATCTATTTTAAGCGATTTTATAAAGAACAAAAAGCTTTTTTTCCAAAGTTTTTATTTACTTTTAATTCCATACTTTGAAGATCATCATAACCAATAACTTCATCACCTATTGAAAAATAAAAGAATTATATTTTCCAAAGAAAAAAAAGAACCCAATTATTATTAATTATATACCTTTAATCATAATTGGTACTTTACGATCGTCAAGAAAAACTCGTTGCCAACCAGACATCATATTTCGACAAAGCTAATAAAATATATAAATATTAAATAGAATTCTCATTTTAAAATTCTTTTTTACTTCAGTATAAGGCACACTGCCTACAAATGTAGCGGGACTACCAAGATCATGTAAATCACTAGTCAAACGAAATTTTTTTCCGAATGCTGGAAGACCAACTAATAATTTCGATGGTTCAATACCAGAATTAACAATATATTTAATTGCTGAATTCTATGATCTCAATATTGATTATTATGAAATGATAAATAAAATAAAAGCAAACCTGATTGAAATCTTTATCATCATTTTCAGCATTTATTGCTTGCATTAAAGAACTATGATGTTCAGCAATTTTATCTCGTGAACCTCGATAATCATAAGTTTGAACATTAAGCCAATCAGCACATCTATACAAACATATGAAAGATTTTTAAAAAAATGAAATTTTTATATCGAACTTAGCAAGTTCTTGTAAATCAAAACGTGATTCAAGTTGTTTTTTTATGCCTGATACAGTAACTGTAAGTAATAAACGCGATCGTCCTGTCCGACCAGCTTCTTCAGCATATTCTTCTTGAAGATCCTAATGATCAATAATATAATTATAGATGTTTCTTTCTTTAAAATCTTTAGCATCTTACTTTACAAAGTTTGGATAATTTTTTTTTATCTTCAATTAATTGTGGATTAGATGTTGATGGTGGCCCTAATGCTTCACTTGGTTCAAAATTTAAATCAATTCCATCAAACTCATGTGTTCGTAAAAGTTTTGTTGTTGAAATAACAAATTTTTGACGATATTCATCTTTTGACATCATTTCATTTGCACGTCTAATAGCATAATCTTGACCACCAATGGCTAATAAAACTTTTAATTGAGGATCTTTATTGTTTTTAAAATCTTTCAATGGATTATTCCATACACCTTTGAAAAAAAACCTATGTTGATTGATTATTTTAAATTCTTAAAAAAAACAATTACCAGTAAGTGTATTATCATCTTCAATGCGTGCAAATGTATATACGATATGTGTACAATTTTTTGCATCTGGATGAATACCAGTCCATGATGAAAAATAACACATGATTTTAAATTCTCCACCACAATCACTATTAACTAATGATAGAACCATATTTAATAAGAATAATAGTATTAAACTCATCGTTGACTACTTAGTAATGTGCGTATCAGTCATAGAATAATAAGAAAAAGAATAAAAAGAATAGACATTATAATCATCAATCGTCCTCATTTGGAGTCTTTTTCGGACAGTAAAAGTTACGACGATTTTGTATCCGATGTATTAAACAAATATAGGCTCAAACGATTAGTTCGCTTGTGCTTTTCGGATACAATAGTACACATTGACATTATACTATTGACACAAAATAATAGCTTTATTTTTTGTTCATTAATCAAACAAAAGATTTTTTCGAAAACAGTGAAGAGTATTTCTTGTATAGAGACAAACATCAGTTAAAAATAGATTTATTTATAAATGTGTTATTAATCATTATGATATCAAATTTTATGAATAATTACTAAAGCAATTTCGTTAGAGATATTGAGATTAAGATAACATTGAGAATTTGTGATTTTTGCTTTTAAATTAAGTTTTACTAAAAAGTAATAGTTTCAATAATGTTCTTTTAATAATGATACAATATATAGGATATTAATTATTAATTATTTCGAATACTGTATTCTCGATTGTGTTGTAGCACAAATAGTTATTCAACTGATTTTTTTTCTATTGAACAAGCATGGTGACAATGACATCTATTAAGATATATTATAATTTATGAGACAATTCTTGGATTTCATATCTTTAAACTTGAACTTTGATTATAATTATATGTAGCACATAACTTATGGTATGACACGCGCAGACATTTCGGATGAAATGCGTTTGAATTATTTAGGATTCGGACTTAATGAGAGACATTGATCACGATAAATGATATATATCTCTTGTTATTTAAAACACTTTCATATAATAGCCATGATTAAATAGGCTAAAACACTTTTTCTATCATTTTATATGATATCATATTATTTGAATATGAGTAATATATGATAAATAGGATATCGAACGTCATATCAAGTATTTGTAAAAAATTAAATAAAACTCGTTTATTATTCATCTTTCGAATAACAAGAAATTTTAACAATTAGATTGCATATAGTGTAGCGTAATTAGCATGAACATTAATCAGTTTGTTAGACAACAAGATTAACTAATTTTTCATGCTAGAACATAATTTAGATAATTGAAAGAAGGAATCTTGCATGATATACCGAAAAACAAAACCTTATAAGACCGAAAGGACTCCTCAACACTTCATCAGGTTTCAAAATAACATTTTTTTCATTAAATAATACCGTTTACTTAGTTCTTGCTCGGGTGTGGATGTGGATGTTTATATTCTGTTACCCCACACCCACATTATCAAAGTACAAGACAGGTCTCATTTGATTAGACCATGCATTTTTTTCCATCTTTAATCACATTTCTCAATGATATATATATATATATTGGTTTTGTTAACAAATCGATTGATAGTAATCATCTTCAGACATTTCCAAATCTATGCATTAAAAAGGACCCAATCTATACTAAGGTGAGTAATAAATAACTCTTTTGTTTCTTTATCAAAATTGATTTTCTTCGAAATCATTTTTTATTTTTTATTTCTGTAGCATAATTTTTACTCAATTCATGATTATCAAAATAGTTTTGTATTGTATTTCAAAATGATCAATATTTTGAAACTTTGGAACCCAATGTGATTCAAATAGGTAGCATTTCGCGTACAGAGAGCGGGATTACCTTTTTTCTGATGATGATGTCGAAAAGCATTTCGGTTTCAGTCTCGGATAAGTTATACTTCTGATAAAAAATCTGATGACAGAGACTGAAGAATTTTTCGTCATTAGAACAGTGATAAATGTGTCTTGACTCCTTAAGTACTGCGTTGAAGAATATTCCACAATCTTTAAACTCACTCTTTCGACTCTCATTGCTGTATTGTTATTATGCCAGACATAATTTACAACGATGTTGTGCCTCAGATTTTGGTTGTTTAAAACGCGGTTCGACTCAAATGTCAAATTAATCAAAACATCGTTATTAAACATGTGTATGCATGACATTTTTTTCTGATTCTTCATTTTCTCGTTTTGAATTAGCGAAACTAATAAATTAATTCATAATATTACTATATTACGGCAAAAGCTTTCGGATTTTTCAAAATTTGAATAATAATCTCAACTGTCTGTGAAAAGAACATACACAGCGCTATGTTCGTCACGATATCGTGAAGACAATATCTATCTAGTTGTTTTATAACAGCTGCTGACGAAGAAAAACACTTCGGCACAGTCATTGAACTCTGATTTTGCATAAAAGCTTTAGCTTCGAACAATCAAACAGAAAAAAATGTTTCTAATTTCAAAAGTCTCTTGATTTCGGTTTCAACCCCATTGATGTCTAGTTTTTTCTTTTGGATATCACTTGAGGGTATTAAGATACTTAGGGAAGTTCAAAAGTAGTGGCGGAGGTACTGTAATTCATTATAAAAAACTTTAATAAATTTTGATTCTATATAGTCTGATTGAGAAAAGAATTCTCTATTTTTCTATGCTATTCGATCATTCTTCAACTAATAATATAATAATAAACTTTCGATAAGATTTGTTTCACTATGATATGTGCCTAGTTGTACCAGTGCCTATTTGATATTTTTTGAATCACTTTTGATAGAACTAAAACAGAGAACTACAGTTTCCATCGTTTGAAAGAGGAGATAAAGATGTAATGAATCATATATTATACGTTTTTCTAGTGTATGGTCTGATGTTTGTTTAATCAGTTTTCTAAGTGTGAGAAAAATAGTTTCTTATCGAAACGGAAACAGAAAAAGTATCCTTTATAGAAATTGCCAGATAAATCACTTAAAACTTCGACTAGGATACCTATTACTTCTGAATGATTAATTCTAAACTTCTGAACCTTGCGTACAGTTTTGTAGACCTTTCCATTGGTAGTTTCAATACACACTTGACAATTGAGAATTCACTGTAAACACCTCACAAGTAGGTTTGTTTTCAAAGAGGTTGATTGGAAACCTTTAGAAAAGTCATGTCAAAAAGCCTATAATATATGACTCGATGCATATTCATCTCATCTTTCGGACAATGAAAACCGCAGTTCTCTATCTTGTTTCTATCAAATGTTATTCAAAAAAAATCTACTAAATATGCACTAGCACAACCAGCCGCATATCATACCGAAACAAATTTTTATCGAAAGTTTATTATTATATTATTAGTTGAAGTATGATCGAATGACATAGAAAAATAGAGAATTCTTTTCTCTATAAGAATATAAAGAAGGAAAGTTTCTTACAGCTTTTTATAAGGAATTACAGGACCTCCGTCACTACTTTTAGACTGTCCTACGTATTTACCTTCTTACTTTTTCTAATGTATACTATATTAAAAAACTATCAATTGCCAAAGATTCTAATCATTTATAGAGATCAAAATAATTTCTTCCTACTAAGAATAAAAACGATTGTAATCTTTCAGTCAGATTCAATTTTCGGTGAGGAATTAGTTTCTTCGAATGCTAGACTATTTATTCATCATTAACAGATACTTGTATTACAGAGATGTTCGCGGATCGGTTTTACTAGAAGAATAAAAATGAAGATCATATTGTGTATTCAACAAATTTTCATTGTATTAAAAATGACCAGGCATAAGCAGCAATATAGATCATTCAGTTTTTGACTCATAAGAGAATATCAAATTCGTACCTCATAATCTTCAGCAAGAATAACTGAAGATAGACCTAATGCCAAAATCCATTGTATTTCATAACAAATCAGTGCCCATCGTTTTTTCTTGAAAAAAACATACTCGTGAATAAACCGTGCGACAAAGTTGATTCAATGATACAACAGCAAGTTCATGGACGGCAGTACAAACAGACGAATGGCAAATAGGAAACGACAGTGGATAAAGCTTTTTAAAGATACCAAGAAAAACGCTGCCAAGATAACCAAATATTCCAGCACATGTACACAAATATATATTAGCACAAAGAACATGGACGACAAACGAATTGGATGTTGTGAGAAAACGTTCGACAAGAATAATTATTAATTATTGAAAGATAAGGATTTGTAACAATTATACCAATGACATCTACACTAAGTTGAATGATTTTTAGAATAATTGCAGTTGTATCGAGTATCATTTGTCTATAATGAAACTACTACTTTATTTTTTTTTTGTATTGTTTGTCACAGAAGCAGGCATCTTTAACACCTAGGGCAATTTAGTGAATGACAATTTTCAGTTAAATATGAAGAAAAATGAAATCATCTCGTGTAATAATAGTTGACATGAGACAGATGTTTTGTCAAACAGTATTCTAAATTATTCAAAATTTAAATAGATTTGACAAGCATAGAAATATTGACGATCATCTTCTATGAAACATGCAATTTTACAATTTTCCATTAAAGGAACTGTCACAATGATATTTATTCAAGAACATTAAAATGAATCATGATAACTATGACAAATTTTTTTTTCTAACAATATATTCAATGCAGAGTAGTTACGACACATAGATAATTGAAGTAGTAAAGGAACAGAGAGATCAGCATTCACTGGATGTTTTCATCTCCATCAAAAATGAACTACGTAAAGACCAACAAATCAGAAAGAATGCCGTTCGTTGTTTACAATCGATGTTTTGTGGCTTTGATAATCAAGCATGGTTCGTCAGACTTGATGAGTTTCATAAGATTTCGAATGTATGGTAGATACACAACAAAGCCAGAGTGAAAGTTTATTCCGAGAAGCATGTCTTCAATGTTGATTCTTGTGTCAATTGTTTCAAGTAATGAATTGTTCATGAGCGGTAATGAATTCGATCATATGTTTGTCAATTGATGAGTCTTATCTAAAGGAACTCATTTCTGAATAAACATCAATTGAGTTGAAACTATTTTCAAGCAACGATATCGAGAAACGAAAATATTCAAGTGAATTTTTCAATCATTGAAATATAACCGAAGTTCAATCATGTGTTCAATTATTGATAGTCAATTGACTATAAATCAATCACACAAGATTCATTACTAATTTCTATTTGATCACAAACGAGTAGCTGCTCAACTCGCACTAATGTATCCATCATTTGTCTTTGATGTTGATCAGAGTTGGAACCGATTGAAAAATATTCAACCGGGTCAGACAATAACAGGCCTGTTGAAATTCTTGACTTTACAGGCAAAAAAAGTCGGCCGATTCAATTACAAAATTCAACAAGCAAAAATACCAGCTCGCTTAATATATCATTTATTCAACTAGTTCTTTTGAGAAAAAGTTTATTACACAGCTCCACGAAGACATACAATAGGAAACTCGTAGTGCTCTTGAAGTTTATAATGAAAACAACATCTATTTTAGTTTATAACGTTCTATATACTCTAATTTTGAGAACGAAGGACGAAGTCTTTCAAAACTCTTCGTGTGGTGCATCACAACAGCTGATATTGAACAATATCCATGCTTTGTTTTGTCTGAGTCTATATAATAAAGATATTAGTTCTTTGCCAGAATCAATAAGTTTCATTTTTTCTTCTTTGAAATCATTATTTAAGACAACCGGAAGGCTTCTCAATTCTAATTAAGCTACTATGGCAGATTGAAAGAGAAAATGAGTTACAAAGTTCGATTTTTACACTAGACTCCATAGTTTTGGGCTTCTTAATACTTAGACATTTTCACGATTGCATCAAGCTAGCAATATTTTTGACATGAAAGCATAAATTGAGAATTGCTGTCCGTTGAGAGTTTCTGAGAGTTGGTTAAAAATAGTCCAAAAAAGTAAGCTCAAAATTTTCAGATGAAAACCTTAAGTTTAAACTGAATTCAACTTTTAATGTTAGTCGAACTCTTTGCGACTATAAACAATGTATTTTGCATGACCCGGAGTCCCTATTTTACGATGAGAAAAATCAAGCTCCAAATTTAGAGTTGAGATTTTGATGACGACTAGAACTACCAGCCTGAGACTCTTGAGTTCACATCCCTGGGTCGCTAAAACCGTAGATCGAGTATGAGTGAAGAAATAGACATTGACGTGGCGTAAGTCTTCTCTTGGTTGGCATCTCCATTAAAGGCGTTTTATTTCTTTTTTCTGCATCGATATAAATCTCAATGAGTTTTATTGGGTTTCAGATACCAAAATAATAGAGAAAAAAAGTACGACGTGAGTTCGCTCGCCCTGTGTCGATATAAATATAATGCTTTCTTTCTGTTAGTTGTCGTTGTCTGTAATAAAGTTATGTAAGCGAGTACTTTCAAAGGACATCAAAGTGCGTGAGATAAGGACAGCAAAAAACACATTATATAACCTGATGTGAAAAGGATAAAACATTTCTGTTTATAAGTTATTGATTAAAAGAAACGATACATTCAAAACAATGTTTTACTGTTTTTCATCTATATAGAAGTATTTGTAAGGATACTCATCTATCCAACGATCATGATATCATCCACAAATACAAAATGTCATAATGGATGTGGCAGATTTCTCATGGATTTTTCTGCACTATTCACAAAGACGTTTCGCTTAGCAATACGTAGACGTGGTCAAACGATTGTAGAAATTCTTCTTGCCTATGCATTCATGGCTCTTCTAGTTGGCTTGCGCTATCTTCTTGATCGTGCCTATTATCCTGATTTTCAACTGTCACCCTTTCGTCCACATGATAACATGATCTGGAATAATACAACGGCTAATATCACCTATTATTATCCGTGTAAGTTTCAAAACATTCTACAAATTTAATGTTTTTTTTTCTGAAACATTTATGCAGCAAATCCATGTACTGATATCATTGTGACGAATGCAATCAATGCTCTAACAATGAATCGACCCGGTTTTCCAGGCCATGGTAGGTGAAAATTCTTTCAAAAGCAGTTCTTCTTTCATTTTTTTTTAAATGATATTCATCATCAAACAATGAACATTCCGAAATGTAGTTGATATTATTCCGAATCCGAATATATCGTCATTGTCCAATACGACATTGGAATCACTCTATGCCTATATCTATTTCACCAATCTTGATTCTTGTACCGGCCCAACAACTATGCCCAATCAAGTTAATTATACATTACGCCTACAAGAGTAAGTTCGATGTCTTTTCTTTTTTCTTCTTCTTTTTTTCTCGATTCTAGAAACGATCCATACTACTATCGTGCTCAACAAGTAAAATTGAACGAAAATGATATATTTTGGAAACGTGCTCCAGAAGATTTTTGCCAAGGTACGCGATGAGAACATAATCTGTTATATTGATTTGTAATATTTCTATGTTTAGGGAATACGACTTTTGCGAATTATACAACACAATTTTTAGGCATTCAATATTTTGTTGATCTATCCATCATTCAATATGTAACGAGCATAACACCAAATTCATCAAGTGTACGGTAGTCTTACCAAATGATTTTTTGTTCATTGTTGAAGAATAATTATAAACATTTTATAGATATTTCTGAATCATTTTGGTTGTCCAGCATTTCATGCCGATGATCTACATACGAGTTTCAGTGTGTTTGTGCCGATTTTTTTCTCTCTTGTCTATCTGATTACATTTATGTTGAATGTTGGCTATATTGTTGAAGAACGTCAAAACAAAACGAAAGTAAGAACTAATTCTATATCTTGAAAGTTTTTGATGGTAAAAGTATGGATTTCTTATTATTGTATATATCAGATAAAGAGTTCACCTTTTCAGATGCGTAATATTACAATTATGTAGGTCTTTTTTGCTGAGGTTCAGCATTAGAAACAGAACTTATCAGTACAAAATGGATCTGCATAGAATAGTTGCTGAATCTAAGATCTGTTTGATGAGAGGAATCAGGACATCTCCTCTCTCAGATATCGTTTATTCCGTGACTAATCGTTATGTTGTTACTATCAGGAATACTTGCGCATTTTTGGACTTCGTACTTGGGTGAACAATTTCGTTTGGGTGGCACGAGCAATGTGTATATTTTTCGTGCTCACTTGTTTGGTGACTGGTCTGAGCTTTCTAACTTTGCCACGTTCAAGCAAACGGCCGAATAGTGTTAATAAAGCTATTTTTAACTATACACATTGGACACTAGTTTGGACAGTTTTCTTTGTTTATTCGATTCATACATCAGTCTTTAGCGTTTTCTTCGGTCAACTTTTTAAACGTCGTAAGTATTCGTTTTAATGCATATCTGATACAAAAATTGCACTACGGATCAATATGTTTGAATAGCTCTTTTGGCCAAATTAATCGGAGCACTACTATGGATATTGACATCGATTGATTTCTATCCCGGTGTATCACTCGGCGTTCGATATTTTTTATGTTTATTTCCTAATGCCGGTCTCCTATTTTCTTTACAAGTCATTCTACAATATGAACGTCGAAGTGGTGAGTTAATGTGTTGCCTATGAAAACAAACACTAATCTATATGAGCATTTAGGAAGTATGGCCACCTTTGGAGAACTCTATTCAAATATTTTTACCTATCAATTGTACATTGGTATTTGTCTTTTACTAATGTTAATGTATTCAGTAATTTACATGCTATTGGCTATTTATATTGAACGCATTAATCCTGGTGAATTCGGTGTTGCACAACCATGGAATTATCTATTTAGAAAATCATTTTGGAATCCTCGCAAATCATCGACTATAGAACCAAGTGATCTTGATTCAAAGGGAGATCATCGAAGAATACAAGATACATTAAATGATCAAGTAAATAATAGCCATATTTGGATTCAACTCAATTCGGTTATCAATGTTAAATCTCCGTGTTTGTCAATCAGCCATCTAACAAAAGTACGATCTATTTCATGATATGAATTCTTGAAAAAAAATCTTCTATTCATTCTAGAAATTTGGAAAATTTCAAGCTGTTTCTGATCTTTCCTTGAATTTCTACGAAGGTGAAGTTTGTTCATTGTTAGGACACAATGGAGCAGGAAAAACAACTACAACATTCATTCTCGTCGGTAAGCTCTATGAATTGACAATATTTTCTCATAATATCGTATTAATCATATTGATTTTAAGGAATGTTGGAGTCAACGTCGGGTAGCGTTTCTGTACAAGGAATGGATAATCGAGAACATATGCAAGAGGTGCGACAGGTTCTCGGATTCTGTCCACAATATGGTAAAAAAATAGGAAAATTCATCATTAATGTACAAAAAATAATATTTGATTAGATATTCTTTATGATGACTTATCTGTGGAAGAACATCTCACATTGATAGCCAAGGTATGAATAAAGATAAGCTTTTATTTAACAAATCCTAATACTTTTATTGAGATTTCGAAGTTCATTTTCTATTGAAAATTAGCAAAAAGAAATTATTTTAGATGCGTCACGTAGACAAAAGAACAACGAAAGATTCAATCGAAACAACTCTCAATTTGATCGGATTAGTCAATGATCGGCAAACTCTATCGAAAGATCTTTCTGGTGGGATGAAGCGTCGTCTCTCCATCGGCATTTCATTGATCGGCGATCCCAAAGTCTTTCGAATCAACTAACAAATCATATTTTACTACGATCAACTTCTTTTTGTTTCAGGTACTCATTCTTGATGAGCCAACCAGTGGCATAGGTAGGTTACACATGTTGAAACTAGAAAAAAAGAAAACTTCTATTTTTTGTAACAGATCCGCACAATCGTCGTCTAATTTGGACAATAATTCGAAAATTGAAACACGATGGAAAATGTGTAATATTGACAACTCATTTTCTTGAAGAAGCTGATGTTCTATCTGATCGTATTGCTTTTATTAGCAAGGGTCGTTTGCAAGCACATGGTACACCGGATTTTCTCAAACAACAAACAGGTATGATGAGAAATTTTAAAAAGATAAACATGCTAAAAAACTTTCATATGTAGAATATGAATATCGTATTTTTATGGATAAACAAGAGACTTGTGATAGTCGAAATGTCACTAGATTCATTCGAGAACATGTAAAAAATGCAATTTTAGAACGTGAATCCGCTTCGGAACTTGTTTTCGGAATCAAACGTGATGAATCGAACAAAATCGAATTATTGATCAATGCACTTGATCAACATCAACAATCGATCGGCATCAATTCTTATGGTCTATCAATGACAACGATTGAAGACTTCTTTCTCAAGTAGGTGATCATCTTAACATACCAGATATATCATCATCATTTCATAGATTGATTCGAGAGGAAGAAAAAGCTGAGGATAGCAATCATAATCCAGAAAAAACTCGACAGATCCTATCGAACGAAGGTAACAATGAAATGGTTTGTTGAACAATGAGAATCAGTAGAGGCTCTTTTTTTCTCTGATAGTTTTTCGAGTGCAGCAAGAACACATTCATGGTGGTCGTCTGTTTTTCACTCGGCTTTGGGCATTACTAGTTAAACGATGGCATGTTACTCGTCGACAAATCACTTTTCTCTTAGGTTTCTTTCTACTTCCGATTATCTTTGCAATTATTCTCGTTGGTGTTTTACCTACACCAGAAGAAATTCAATCGACACTTTTGCAGAATGATCGTATAATCGATGCTCAAGTAACATTACTTCCATCGATTTATAATCCACAAACCATTGTTACTTATTCTAATAACAATGAAAGTTATCTTTCACAGCGTCTTCTTAATTATTTAACTAATGCTGGTGCAATTGTTGATGAAATATTGAAAGATGACGTACTCAAGTATCTCCTACCGAAATACTATCAATCGGCAGATACCTTTGTAAACAAATATAAAATGGGTTTTGCTTCTTACATTGACTCAACAGCTCTATCACCCATATTGAAATTTAATACGTACTTTTCCACTGTCAACTATCATACAATGCCAACGAGCTTAGGTATAGCCACGACGAATCTTTTCCAATTTTATGCAAATTCATCGACAAAAAGTATTGTCACTACCAACCAACCGATTTCAAAAACAGTGACTGTTCTAACTGCACAAGCTCGTGCTTTTCAAAATCTTCTCTGTTTCGATTCATTGCCAGTATCAGTATTCAATTTTTTGTTTTGCATTATTGCTACTCTATTTATTGCGATTCTTATACCGACATTTATTGTTGAACGTGTCAATCATTTCAAAGATCTTCAATTATTGACCAATTTAAAGAAACGAATCTATTGGCTCTCAAATCTGATCTTCGATGTTTCACTCTGTTTGATTCTTTGTTCACTACTGACAATTGTTTTGAAAGTAAGTGAATCGATTAACTAGATTGTCCAAAGTGTTGCGGATGTGGGATGAGATCAACTATTGAAAATTGCCGCATCAACGTTTTTTTGATAAATAGACAATTTTCAGCCAATAAGAACAATCTTGCTGTTTTCTTTGCTACTATCTGAAATCATAAAATAACTGCTGACATAAAATAATGATTTAAGTTTCGCACAATTTTATAGTCTTCGTTTTTAGTTCGATCTTTTTCATTAGTCAAAACGAGTTGGATAAAACAAGACTTTCGTGCGCTTTTCTTGATTGAAATTCTTATACATAATGTTCGATAGTAAAGCTTAATCTTTGTTTCATGTAGATCGGTGCAGCAGCCAATCCAAAAACACAATCTGAAGTCTATATTTATCACAATACAGAAGAAACGGGCTATTTCTTTCTCATGTTTCTGATGTACTCATTAGCATCATTGCCATTCATCTATGTCTTTTCCTTTGGTGTAAAACGAGAACTAATCGGTGTGATTAATTTCTTTCTATTGAATGTTTTGGTATGCTTTGCCGATATGATTTTGAGTTTTCTTGCCACCGTTGTACAAGATAAAGGTTCATCCAATCAGAATACTATCACTGCCGGAGCGACAGCCGTAACGACTATTCGTTGGATTCTTTCGGGTCTTCTGCCAACAGTGAATTTGAAGCATGCTCTTTCTAATATTCGTCTTCGTTCGAATCGTGACTGCATCAAATCATTCAATTCAATTATGGCAACAAATTATGCCTTCGACGAACCCTGGATGTCAGTGCGTGAGCCTGGTCTTGGTTTACAGTTTTTGATTTTCTGCGTACAAATCATATTTTGGTGGTTGCTATTGGCAATAATCGAAAATTTCAACAATATCAAAAGAACTTGGCAACGATATTGCAATAAAGCCAATCCGTCGAACAACATGTTCGAATTTGATGATTCGGTAAAAGAGACAAAATATTGTTCGAGATTGTTTAATATTGAATTGTTCATCTAGCATTTAGATGAAGATGTTCGAATAGAACGCGAATCGATTTTACAGGAACATCAATCGTCAGCATCGACAGTTATTCTCGTTCGAGATCTTGTCAAACAATTTACAAAACGGAAAGAAAAGTCATTTACCCGACGTATCTATACGGCAGTTGATCATCTAAATTTTCGAGTACCAACACGATCCTGTTTCGGTTTATTGGGTGTGAAAGATTTTTTCTGCTTAAGAGATAAATGCATCTATCATTGATATTCCAGGAGCAAATGGAGCAGGTAAAACAACAACATTTCGAATGTTGATTGACGATATTAAACCAACATCGGGTGAAATCATTATCAATGAAAAAAATATTAACAAAATGGTTCCGCATCCTGGAAAAATCAAATTATTTTCTTGAATTCAATCATCTTTCTTTTGTAGGAACGTGATCTTGATATCGGCTTTTGCCCACAGTTCGATTGGCTCGTAGATGGTCTCAATGTTTATGAAACAGTGATTTTGTTTGCCAGGTAATTGTAATATAAATTAATGACTATAAAGAAACAGCACTTCGACACTCGTTCAATCTGTGATGAAAATGTGGCAAGCTTAGATAATATAAACGATATTAGACAGAGATATCATTCTGCTTGTAAACATTTGTTATCACTTACTTTATCTAGATTGAAAGGCTTACAAGCATCGAGCATACCACGACTTTGTAAGAATATGATTAAATTGTTCGGTTTGGATACGTACGAAGAACAGGTCGTGCAAAATTTAAGGTCAGTATGCTCTTTTAATTGCAAAAGAACCATTTAAGAAGTTATACGATAGTTGTGCCCTTACAATCGTTAAAATAAAAATTTTCTCGTAATATCTTCATCAATTTTACTTTCTCATAGTTGCATATCAATCGAACTAAGTAATATGACCTCAATTAGAACCATCTCAGTATTATTTTCTTATGAATGATCTATTCGGTTTCATAATTGCTCAGTTTTATCGAAACCTTTTCTTAGTATTGTATTGTGAGCGTCAGTCATTGGGATATGATTTCGACTGAACCAATCGTGAAGTCCCAAAAAAGGCTCTATTAAACACTATAAAAATGCAACCTATGTCGATACTAGAAAATAGAAGAGCGTATCCATATATTACACAATAACACCCACAGCAGTCTCAATGGCTTCCCATGCAGCACATGATGGACAAGTTGAAAACTCACAAAAATAAGTCAATAAAGTTCTACAAAATGCAAAACATACATGAAACAGGGTTTATTTTCTCTTCTGATTGAGCTTAGATGATGTTTGTACAAGCAAAGTTATTTGAAGGTACTATTCATTGCTGATAAGTTATTTCTTTTTTGATATGACATGTACAGTGGTGGCAATAAACGAAAGTTGAGTGCAGTCATTGCATTCATGGCCAATCCAGCTTTGGTCTTTTTGGATGAACCAACAACAGTATATTAATTGATTTTCGTCTAGAAACATAACATGAATGAGATTTATACTAGGGTTTGGATGCAGCCGCCAAACGCAAATTGTGGGAAGTAATTCGTTCCGCTCGTGATATTGGCTTGACCATTATCATGACTAGTCATAGGTAACAGAAAAATCAAATATTGGATTTCTAATTGTCTTTATACTTGTTACCTAGTATGGAAGAATGCGAAGCTTTGTGCACAAGTAAGTCGATGTTTTTGGTCAGCATAAAAGTTGTCGTCAACTATAATTCTATTGAGGGATCGGCATTATGAAATTGGGTCAATTTATGTGTCTTGGCAATTTACAACATTTAAAAAATCGTTTTGGAGACGGTTATGCTGTACAAGTAAAAGTATCAATTGACCAAGTACACCAAACCAAACACGACCTGATATCCACGTTTCCAGATATTGAGATTCAAGGTAGGAGCAAAATGAGGATAAATCGAAGTGAAACTGAAGTCTCATTGAATGTTTGATCTAGTCATAAGCAATTTCATGCCAATATCAGGAGAGTAAGGGGCAAAGCAGATGACGGATTATCTGAGTTAGCGTTTCTTTACCAGAAATTTTCAATGATTATTAAATTGTAGATCAACACGATGGAGTACTTTTTTGCAATGTACCTTTTTCGTCAACACCATCCTTGTCGAACGATAAAAATACCACTGCATCCTCTTTCAATTTGGCTCGTATATTTGCAATGCTTAATGCTCGAAGGAATCAAAAGTTAATTGAAAGCTATTCATTGTCACAAACAACACTTGAACAAATCTTTGTTCGTCTTGCTGGTGATGATGAAGATAACATGTCTACTGCTTCATCTGATAAAGTATTATTGAATCAAACCGAAGTAACAAATGAAAGTAAGTAACGTAATACCGAGTAGTAATGGTCTAGAAACAATTGTCTATTTTTCTTCTCGAAAAAAAAATGAAACTATTGAATGTACAAATCGATGATTGATAGCCAGAAGAGATACTGTTTTCTATCATTTCTTTTTCTTTATCGGTGGCTTGTAAACCAATCAAAATTTGATCGTTTTATTTTAGTTTCGACTCGCTTTTAAATTAAAATGGAATACGATCAACATCAACGATGCTTAAGAATGATTTGTTATGTATACCATTGTCGAATAGACTTGACACTATGTAATTCAAATATTTGAATTCGTTTTTTTTTTCAGTGAAAAAGTTACTACTCTTACTTAATCAACATTACATATTCAATGATCTTGAGAAGTTTGTGCAATTATTTTCAATAACAGAGATTGCAGCTATTATTAGCACGTTAATCATTCGTGGGACCGGTCAGATTTTTTCTTCACTGGTTTCAGGAGCGGTCAGAGTAGACTTGATCAGAATCAGTCATTGTGATAGTTAACACTATTGATTCAAAAGAAGAAGAATCACTCTCGAAATTGCTTGATTCTCACATGACCCGACTGTCATGCTCTGGATGCACATTGAACAGTTTGGTGACTCAAAAAATAATTTGAATCATTCTTTCTCTATTAGTTGTGATCTACAGATTGCCTAAGCAGTCTTGTGTACTCTAACAGATTGAAACCATTATATAGAAAATATGAGAATGCATAATATATTAAAAGTTATCTATATAGAGTGATATTTATTTGCAGAAGCCGAGATCAACAGTATCTATCTTACGGTAGTGTCACACTGATCTGAGAGTATTATAATCCTACTCCAGGTGATGTGTATGTGGCGTCGAGTGCAAGATGTTGGCAGCTATGGTTAAAGACGCGAATGTTATCCCCGCCAACACCTAAAATCAGGAACACAAGCAGATGCACAGTCTCACTTACGCTGATACCCCAAACTCATGCTAACACCTTTTTGATCCTTGTCAGAAATATTTGCGAACAAAAGTGTTCCTTGTTCTATTATAACCGGTTGGAAGTAATATTATTCCACGGAAGTACCACTATAATTTCAAATAGAGTAAATAATGGATTTTATACCAAATGAAAGCTCGTCGAAAATAGAATTTATTGGTACGAAATAATAAGGGTTATGAAACCTATCGTATGTTGAACTCTCAAAATTTATAATATTTTATCGAAACGAAATATGAGAAAAACTATTGATGAGATAAAGTTCGAAATACATCTGCTATTGATGACCATTAGCGTTCATTACTGCACGAAGGCGAGATGGTTACAAACATAAAAGAGTTTCAAATAACTCAGTATCTGTTTCCATGTTGATCAAAACATTCGAAATGTACATTTGAAGTGTGTCTTCAACATATCGATTATGTCCAGTTTTTGATAACATTTTTTTTTCAACTTCATTTTTAATTATTGATCCAATACGTTCTGCCGCATTGAGATCTAGCGAATTTCCGGGCTAGATATCATTATCCTAAAACTTAACATCGTTGTCTTGAAGCAAATGTGGGGTCTTATTTGCTTGTATAACATTGTGCTTTATCATGGATCAATATAATTTCATCAGAATCACTAACATTTTCTTTATTGTTTAAGAAAGGAAATAGATTTTGAGTTAAAATCATGTCATGAAACTATTGATCAGTTCAATATTCACCTTTATCTTTAATCACGCAAAGTAAACTCTTTCAAGTAAACATAACAAAACCCCCAATGTATACTTGACTTTTAATCATTTCACTGTATTTTTTATCTTCTTAAGCATCTTCGACACGTCTTGTCCAAATTCTATCTTCTAATACTTTGGTCTTCAAACAATTCAGATATTAAACTTATCAGACGGTACGAGAGGAAAAAAATTCTCTTCAGTCCCATCTTTTAACCATTTTAGAATAACATGGAATGGCTTTAATCCTTCTCTATATCGATAATTATTGGTTGTTCTTGGAACCATGTATTTCTTTTTGCTTTTCTGCAACCACCTTCGTCACGACAGAGCAACTTGTTTCTTGTCAACCACTTCATTTAAGAATGATGTCTTGACTAACTTGTGATAATTTGAGCTCGGAACCAGAATGTGAATAGTCACTAAAACATTGATCATATGATTTTCCCCCCATTCTGTGATAAATCGAGCCGCGCAATGAATTTTGTCCCCGACCCATTTTCCATTTATAAATGTTGCACCGGCATTGCAAGTTTGACAAAAAGCTATACATTTAATTTGTCAATCATTCTTTGTTCACTATCATAAGCACCAGTCTTTTTCAAGTAGCAAAACGTCGTTGATTCACTAAAAGGATGAATTCTTTTTTATGAAATATATCGATCAGAAAACGAACTTATATATGACTCTACAACAACTACTTAAATTTTTCTCTTCTATAACCTTCTAACGGAATGAAAAAAAAACATCTTTTAATTAATCTCTACCATGAGGCCCAAACAACAGAAAGCAAGAGGAAAACTTTATTTTCTGAATCGGAGTTACGTCTTATGATTCCTAGAACAATGCTTTTTCGATTTTTCGAAAGAAAATTCCTTTTTTTCTTTCACTTATAATTCTCGACAAGCAGATGATAACGATTGTATTCTACAAAGTTGTATAAATTTTGAGAATTCAATATACGACGCAGTTTTCATAACCCTTATTATTTAGTACCACTAATTCCCGTTTTCGACAAGCTTTCATCTGGCACAAAATTCATTCTTTAATCTATTTGAAATTATAGCAGCACCATCCTGGAATAGTGCTAGTCACAACCGTATACATTAATTGTTTACTGCCAATACGTTACAGTATTCTAAATATAGAATCGATCTCTTTACATTGATGGAAAGAAAAATGACAAAGTTCTACAATTGTAATGAAACAAACCACTATATATTTATGTCTAATTTCAAAAATTTCCCAACATCACTAAAATTACCCATATCTCAAAAGAGTATAGATTTTTTCATATGTGAGTACACGTAGTTGAGTTTCTGAAAACAGCAAGAAACGCTCTGCTAGGAAACGGGTAATTGTCGAAATCATCTAGACATATGTTCATAGTGGCTAAATAATTTCATTATTTGCGTAGAAATTTCTTACTAATATTTCAGGCTGTTTCGTAATTTCTCGTTAGTTTAGTTTCGTTTTATGATAGGTTTTAGTATGTACTGTGAAATTTAAGCAGTAATCAAGAAATTTTTGTATCTTTTTGTTTAGTAGATTTTGGCGTGATGTCGAAAATTTTCATAACTTTGAAAACTTGTTTTTTTTGGAAATTTGAACAAACCTCTGTGCATTCATTAGTGTGACTGTTACTAAAAACAGGTATAAATGGCTCATATTTACCTTTTTGTACAATACATGAACCAAATTGGCCTCCTAATTGTTGATAAATATCCATATGAAATTTCTTCTTATGAGAATGCATAATACATTCTTTGATTAGCATTTTTGATTTGTAAGGAGTCGTAAAATACTCCCATACGTATTTATAAGTAAAAATAAATACATAATGGAAAGAAAAATATGAATCAAGCCACTTAGTAAGAAACCCATCAAGCTCATTCACAACTTTCAGATTACATTAGAAACACACAAGACAAATAGCTGTTACTTAGTTTTTGTGATTTAAGGTGGGTGAAAGTGTTGAAATCTTGACTTATTGGATTCGGAAATTTACTGCAAAAAGATTTCACAACTTCACATTTTTATCACAAGACAAACTTGTCACCAGTATAAAAGAAGCAACGGATTCTAGTCATTTTCGTAGTATTTTGCAAGTTTATATTATAGAAAAATCTTCGTCTATGTGTCTCTTTTCGATTTTTCATTTTGATCTGTCTGATCTCATTCGTTTCTGTTACATTGACCGACACGGGATACAAATCTATAATAGATCGAGAGTAGTCTGGATTCTTTTTACTAAATTGGAAATTTGCTGGTGCCAAAAAAGAGTATGAAGAAAAAGCACTTTTTGTTTTGTTTTCTGAATATATCTTACCTATTATCAATGATATCATAGGGCTAAATAAAAATATGTCCATGTGTTACCATATGAGTATATACAATCCCACACTTCTCCTTTCGTCATTGTTTTCTTTCTATTGAACAACATCTATCTAGACATCGTAGCAGTCTTTAGAAGAAAACTATAAAGCTCTGAAAACATATTATAAGAAGTACTAACAACGTGTTTGATTGTACTTGTTAGTGTATTGCTTGGTATTCAATTTTTCATACCTTATTTGTTAAAACACTCTAAAATATTCGAAATCGCTTTCATACCACGCTAATATCATGATTAGATTCATCAGAATTTGCATCTCATAATATAACATTGACATTAATGATGTCATTTGTAGAGAAGTGTCCATCACAAACGATTATTGCGTTTCATTTCACTTACTCCAATCTTTATACTGTATTTCATTATATATAAGAAAAAAATAGTTAATGATATCTTAGTTCATACGAAAAACGTCAGTTCCACATTTTGATCCTATAGGATCACACTGGCAAGCTTCCTCCATAAGCCGCATATTGCAATTGCAGATGTCTCAATATCTTTCTTAACTATTATCAGTATTATTTATACATGTTCTTCGCCATTTTATTCTTTTCTAAAATCGATTACAATAACTATTGAAAGTCTGTCTATCAGGTTAAACTATTTTGCTAGCTCTCTATGTTATATGTGCTATCCTTCTATTCTTTCTTCGAGAATATACCTGATGTACGTTGTTCGTCTGTATTTATTTGAAATAGCTTGCATTGTTAAAGCATACAATTTTGTCTTGTTTGTAAAAAGAAATTATAAACCATTATCTATTGAGTAAAAGTCTTCGTAAAATCGTCGAGATCATGCAAATTGAAAAACTTACGATTCAATGCATTGTGGATAAATATTAAAAAAATACATACTGTTGATCAAGCAGTAATCAACAAAATAAGACAAAATCGCAGTAAATTTGCTAAAGTCATTCGAAACGAATGTATTAATGAATTACGCATTTCTGTTTTTCACAAAATAATCGAATATCAACTCAACGAAGGAGATAATCGGGGACAAGTGAGTGATACAGAAGAAGTCTTTGATGAAGGAAAACAATCTATTGAAACGATTCACACAAAGACGAGATGATTACAGAATGGTTTAATCTCGAGAGTATTGAATGTTTACCGTTGGTGTTCAGTTCTTCTAATTTCAATCTAATGGAACAAATATGAGCTCATATAAGGTGAGAACTGCAAAAAGAACCTGCAGAAAATTTAGCCGATTTGGGACTCAACTAGACTTGATATTCCAAAAAAAAATAATTGGTTCTTTAGGAAACTGATAATATAAAAAGATTAAACAGAAAGAATGACTAACACAATACTGATGTCGTGATTCTTCTAAACTTCCAATGCTCTTTCGAGAAGATATTGCTGAAAAGATGGAGAGTATAGTTTTGATTTTGCTTTTTACTTAAATTTTAAAGGCGATTAGTTATGCATCTGTGTTCAAGCTGCACATTTCCAAGTAATAATAGAACTTTCCACTGAGGTTTTACCAGCAGGTAGGTCTCAGTAAGATTAGCAAAACCCCTAAAAGTGATTTTGTATTGCTGTCTGTTTCTTTCCCAGTTCGAGTCATTTCCCTCAGATTTTAGCTTATAATAAGGAATATAGAGAACAAATCAAAGATGATGAAAAGGATTTTGAATCAATATTATCAACTGATCGAGGTAAGTTTTTAGACGACTCAATTATGTCTAGGTTGATTTATTTATCGTTCAATTTTATCTTTCTTTGAACTTGAATACTAGATTTTTCGAGACTTGCGGTTCATAAGATTCACTAGATCATATTTCAAAAAAAAAACAAGTCGAAAACCTCAGTCACAAGGTTATGTGCGTTCGTTCAATGCCAATGAATAACTGATTGATTATGCTCAATATTTTTGAGAAGTTACACCGTTGCTTCATTTGTATCGAAAAATAAGACAAAACAAGAACTTGTCAAACTCTCTATTAACGTGACAGAATTTATCGACGATTGACGACGAAAGGCAGCAAGGATTTCTAGGCAAGTGATGACGTTGATGAAACAACGATACAAGAGTAATTGTATAGAACACGAAGAAAGTGTGATATTTACTTTTCTTTCTTATTTTCTTCAAGGTATGTGTTTTATTATTGTGTCTATCACGTGAGCAAATACTTATTTTTCTACTCACCAGCAACTGAAGCAGTCGTATGATATAATGAGTCATACGACATTGCTCTGTCATGTATACAACGGTAGAAAAGATTTGAATTCTTTTTTTGTTGGTAGCACAGGAAAATAGTCGTTTAAGAAAAAAAATCGATCATAATTGAAAATCAAAAGCACTACAAAAACAAGATCAATGAATTCGTCTGAAACAGAAATATTTTTGCCAGAACAACCAAATGCAATAATTAATGGAGATGAAATCAAAATCAATACTGGTTCTGTCAAAATTAGTTCCAATACCGAACTCTATTATGAATTACGTTCGCCACCAGTTTTACAAGAAACATCAAAAGTAATTATGATAATGGGCGCATTTGCTACATTGAAACATTTTGATGAACAAGCACAATTTATTGTCAAATATTTTGCTCATTCTTCAACACCAGCAGAAATTTTGACATATGATCATCGTGGAATAGGAAAGTCACTAACTACTTCAAAAGTTCGACAAACATCACGTATGCTTGCTAATGATGCTTTTACTTTAATTAATAAAGTATGGACAGCAAATGAACCTATTCATGTATATGGTGCTAGCCTTGGTGGAATGGTAGCACAAGAATTGGCTCTACTTTTAATCGAGTCAAATCGTTTGAGATCATTATATCTTGCAGTGACGTCACGTGGTGGTTACATTCGACCAATGGCTATGCTTGGTCCTAGCGCTTGGTCATTGCTAATGCCATTTCTTATCAAGAAAGATCATGAAAGAATGGTTCGCAATGTTCTTCTTCCTGCTACATTTTCGCCTTCTGTTCTCAAAGCCAATGGTGAACAATATGCAACATTATGGATTAATGACTATGATCAATGGTGGGCTTTTAGTAATCAAGATGCTTGTGCTTGTCAGTGTTCGGCAGCTGCTTCACATTATTTATCGAACGACGCAGTACGCTTGATATGTGCTGCAAGTGTTCCAATTACCGTTCAAATATCCTTGAAAGACAAATTGATCTCACCGAAAAAACAAGAAGAACTAGCAAAATTACTAAATGCTAAGACTGTTGTATTCGACCAGGGTCACTTGGGTGATGATGACATCAAAAAAGAATTATTTCGAGCATTTATCCAACATCTTGAAAATGTGAATTGATATTGTTTGTTTTTAATAAAATCTTCTTTACTAATGAGATTTAGAATGATGATTGATCGTACGACGCTTGTTTTGAATCTTTATTTCTATTTGAAAGAACAGCTAAGTTGGACAAGCTCAAACTTTCTCAAGTATGAGTTTTGTGAAAAATTCAATGGAGAACGTATGGCAATAGATGATTCTCATTAAATGGATCATTCATTTTCTATGCCATAATTTCTCAACTCAATTCTTGTCAAAGGAGATGTGAAATTTTATACAAAATGCTTTGATTTACTGATAACTAGGCAATGATCAAATCTTATTTGTACCGACATATAATCTGTTAATTCATCAATCATATCGTCGTTTTTTTTTATACAATTGTGCGCTGATTGTGCATAGCTGTGATACACTAGTCGTAATAAGAATCATGTGTATGATGGATACTTTCTCTGACACACTTACTCCCAAAATCACAACGTAGCAGTCTTAACATAGACTGAATGGAAAATTCCCAGTCAGACAAAATTTTTGAAAAACGCGTTTAAACGCACAATCGGGAACCGCGACTGTGATCCATTAACGATCATCAAAAGAAACGCACGAAAACGCATTTATTGGCGTTTTTTATAACTTTATGGCCGCTAAAACGGCGAAAATTTCAGTTTTTGAGCTTTAAAACGCACTGTTATTCTAGAACTTGAAAACAATACGTTTTAACGCTCAAAAATTGGAGTTTTCGCCGTTTTAACCCCCATAAAGTTACAAAAAACGCCAATAAACGCGTTTTCGTGCGTTTTTATAATGAGCGTTAATGGCTTACAATCGCAGTTTCCGATTGTGCGTTTAAACGCATTTTTCAAAATTTTTGTCTGACTGGGTTTTCTCATTTTCGTCAATGAGCAAATAGCCCATCGGTTTTTTGTCTAACGAGGAAGCCCCATCAACTGATTAAAAGCTTTTGTGCTCATATTTGGGCCATAAGTAGGACATGGTCGGTACTCGTCGACAGAAAACTGTTGAATAACATGAGACCACATTGACGCATACACATGTTCTCGAAGTCTGTGCTTAATAGTATATTGGTAGTATGGGTTCACTAAATTTATCAGATACGATTATGAATATGGATGTGGGCTGTGGATATTCGTGGAAACAAAGCTCACACTCGTGCCCACACTTCACACCTTTACCATCTGTTCTGTTCTATTGACCGCATACGTAGTAATACATATTTAAAATTGTCTCGTCTTGGCTTCCAATTTACTAAATAAAAAAATTGTGTAATCCTATTCATCATCAAAGCTATACAATCTTTCTAGTTTACAAAAGAAAACAAAAGATGATCAAAGACTCTTGAATGTTTTTCATCGTTCAACAAAAATTGAGAAAAAAAAAAGAAAAAATGACAACAGAATAAGAATTCATTGTTCTTTATTTTTTACATCATCATTAAAATAAACGAACCAATCGTGCTTGTAAGAGGTGGACCAATAGTTTTGACCGGATTCGCATAATAAAAGTTTTTTTGTGACACACATGTTTGTAAATTTGTCTCTAATAAGAATAATAAGAAAAGATGCAGCAAAACACGCTCTACAAAGGGGCTTTTGATTGACTTAACCGTCTCATATAGTACGAAAGTTATAAGTTTAGATAAATTCTTCACAAAACATAAAAAATAACCATGAATTTTTCAGAGCATTCTAACTTATAATCACTTTCAAGTCGTTATATATTTAATTTTAAATGTGTGATGATTTTCACTTTCCGTTAGATCATACTACCACTATATTCATCATCACTCGCAGATCTCATTGCATCTTCTCTCTAGGTATTCGATATATTTTTCGATCTGTATGTATTCACTCAATGTATTCTCTATTTTTGTGTCTAGTAAGATAACATGAGAAAAATGAATATGTGAAAAACGAAGTGAAAGTGCAGTAATACTAATCAGTATTAATTTATTCAAATCCAAGAAACAGAATATGTATTTCACTAAGTAAAATTTTCGACCATTTTCAATTGTTAACGCTGGAAAAATGCGGTCATCTTCAATACAAATTGAAAACATAAACAAAAACCATCAACCTTATTTGATGTTTACTTCATATATTGGCAGTTATATAAAACTTGAATTTTCATTTACTTGAAAAAGGAATTGATGGTTTTTGTTTATGTTTTCAATTTGTACTGAAGATGACCACATTCTACCAGCGTTAATAACTAAAAATGGTCGAAAATTTTACTTAATGAAATATATATTGTGTTTTTTGGATTCGAATAAATTAATACGGATTATTATTACTGCACTTTCACTTCGTTTTCCTATCTTTGTGTGTTCTACTATCTGTCCCAGGTCTTTGTAATCACTATTCCTTTGTTTTCATGATATCTATCTGTTTTTCTATTCATATATTTGTTGGTGGTTCTCATATATAAATAGATCGGCTTCAGTCAAGATAAAGTATTCGATAGTCTGCACGATTTCTTACGTCGTATAACAAGATGTCAAACACGTTTAGTCTGGAAGAGCAGTTTCGCGGACTCATGTTTTCTTGGAAGCGCATGAATGCCGTATGGATGGCAAGCAACATTGCTGAAGAATTAGAATCTTATGAAAATCTTCCTTCATTATCTCATGATGCATTAAGAAGAAAAATACACCAAATATTACAAAGAGGAATTGTATAAGACAGAGCAAGATGTGGTGCACCAAGAGCTATTAGGATCGCACAATTCAAAAAAACGGTAAAAAGACTAATACATTTTAAAGAAAGGTCAACGTCAACGAAGAGTAGTTTCTTATTTACAACGTGAAAATATTGAAGATGGAAGAACATCATTTCGTAGGGTAATTAAAGAATTAAAATTAAAATCTTTCAAACTTAGAACAGTTCAGAAATTAACGACAGCAAACAAATAACGACGCATTGAATATGCGGAAAAATTAATACGCAAATTTGGTGCAAGAAAAAATGATCCGAAGTAGCAATGGTCTAAAATTGTTAATACTGATTTTTCAGGAATATTTACAATCGAAAGTTTTCAAAATAGTAAAAATGATGTAGTTTATCCTAAAGATTCATCTGAAATTCCTACTCATTTAAGAAAAACACAAAAGGTAAAGTATTCAAGTGGTATCATGTTTTGTAGTGCAATTTGTACGAACGGTTTAATACCAAATGATGGTCCTATTAATGCTACTGAATGGTTACAAAGTCAACGTTAAAATGGTCAACGTAAGAAAATGTTTATGACTGGTGAATTGTATGCTAGGTTTTTGCAAGAAGAAGCGGTTCCTGTAATTAATAAAGTAGTTGAAGATTTGGATGAGGTCATTATTCAAGATGACCAAGATTCAAAAAGAAGAGTTCAAGTTGCAATGAATGTTATTTATGATTCTTTTGAAGAAAGTATTGAACCAGGTGATGAAGATGCTAAATTTGTAGATGTATGGTCCATTGGAAACATTTGGGAAATATTCAAAGAAAACAATAGAGAAAAAATATTTCAAAATCTTCATTCACTAGTTCGTTTTGTTAACTCAGAATGGAAAAAACGCACTTGAACAATGCGAAGCAATGATCGACAAAATACCTAAACGTCTCTCAAAGATGATGCTAGTCGTTGGAAATCAAATGTATGAATATTGATTTAAATAGATATTAATTGTAACATTCAAGATAAAGGAACCTTTTTTTAAGTAAAGCAACAGCTTTTAGCTAAAGAAACGTCTTTATGATTTCTAAAACTTCAGGTTAAGTTTTATTTTTTGTTAAGCACATTTCTAAGCTTATAACTTTCTTACTATATGAGGCAGTGAGGTCAATCAAAGGCTGTTTTGTAGAGCGTGCTATGCTGCATCTTTTCTTACTAGAGACAGATTTACAAACACATGTTTCACAAAAAACAAATTTATTATGCGAATTCGGTGAAAGCTTCTCGCCCACTCTTTTACGGCTGGTACGAAAACTGTTTCGATCGTCTTTTCCTTTCATAGGTTTGTCTGATTTTGGCATTATCCCTAATGTGTTTCATTTTCGAACACATCATATCGAGGACCCATGGGTGGGTGAATGGATAGTTGACGGTATCAGTTTTATCTTCACTAACATCCTCATAGTAAATAGCTAACGATTCAGGCCCACAAACAGAATATCCGCATTCACAATCACAGTTGAATGATATCCAGTACCTTGCATAAATGATGCAGGCCAAGACCTTTTTTTTATAGAAATCATGTATAGATACTGTGAATTTAGAAGCAAAATAACTAGATTGCTAGAAAAATATGATTAAAACAAAGTTATGAGATATCACCCAAGATCAGCAATATGGTTCGGCGAAAAACGAAAAAGTCTTATCAAAATATGTGATTTGATGAAATATATGTTATCTAATGATGAGAGAACTTAAATTGATACTTGAAGCCGACGGGTACTGCATCAATTCTAGGAGTAGCTCACCTACGAGAACTGACACTTTGTCCTCAGTTCGAATTCCAACCTGGACCACATGAGTACCCGCGGACACCTGAACGATGTCCGACTTTGGGCAGTTTGAATAGTAATCGACATTCAAACCTCCACTGTAGAATAATGCTCCTCCACGAGCATCAACTGCATGGATGCTACCACTTGCCTTTGATCATTGTTGGGTAAAAAATAATTTGACACCAAAATGCGATCATCGATCATGAAATGAATGAAAGATCCTCTCAAATCTCTGAACATTCTGCATAACCCTTGAAATTGTAGTTTTTAAATGGCTGGCTGAGTATGATGGATGCCTAAAGTCAAACCAGAAATCTGTGACAAAACGTTTGATGGACTGTTGAAAGCTGTTTCGTGTTCATCTTGGTACCGTTTAAAATACATCGGCGTATTGAAGCCACTTATTGGAGTAGGTGGAGCCTCGAGAATCTTGATCGATGAACTGCCATTGATAAGGTAACCAATAGCAGTATTCATTGATGCTATTGCTACACATAAAACGATAGAAATCATTGTTCTGCCGTAATAAGTACTCTTATAACGAAAAGCACGACATTAAATAGAAGAATTTACTCATTTATTATTCTGAACAAGATTTTACACATCATTTCTTCTTTCTACAAAAACGTAATGTGCGCATTCGAATATGAAGTTTCTTAATTATCATATATGCTAATCATATGCAAAATCGATAAAGCAGGGTTGAGTTACCAATCAATCACTTCTTTTACATGCTTCAGAAAGAATAGAGTGTGAATGGTATGAAGATGCGTGTATCTCATCCGTTCAGCGATGGCGGCACTCCATTTATGGCCATGACATTTTTCTGCAGGAGTAACTCGTATAATGAAATATGAGTTCTTTTTCTTCTTTGGAAGTCGAGCTAAACAATTGCATTCCTCATTTATGTACTCAATAAAGCCGAAAAAAATTGCGAAGTAAGTACAGGCGACTGCGTGAGCGTTAATTTTGATGTTAGTATTGTCCTATCTAACGCCCGCATGCATATTAACACTCTCATTTTCGACATGTGTGACATCTTTTACTTGTGATAGCAACCGTTCGTTCATGACTTTTCTAAAAAGACATCGTTTTTAATACTACTGAAGATTAATTATTCATTGTTTGTTTATTTTTGGGGTGTGGGTATGAATGTAGAAGTAAGGGTTTTGTGTTCTTCACAATACACCCACCTACACCCAGGCCCACACCTTAAGTGATTATTCATTTCTATCGGGCAGTACTTCAAAATCCTACATCTTATTTTTACCTTCAGATCATACAATAAAACAATTATTACATGTTTTTACAGAACCCATCATTGTTTTTCGGTAAAAATGGCTTAATCAAGTATATCGAAGAAAAAACATAAGTGATGGTACAGACAGTGGAAATATTTCTGAGTCATCCGTTAAAATACAAGTATTTTCACAAATTTCTTCAGAATTCTGATAGTTTGAAGCTATCAACATCACATGATAACCTTAACAGCATATAATAGTAATCAGTATCTCTTGCACAGTTATGTTGCTCTGCCTATAGCACTTTTACTTTTGTCTACGATCTTATCTGTATCGCTTATCATTTCTTTTCTTGACGTTTTGCAACAGGACAGCAACGAAATAAGCAATTTTTTAACTGAAAAGCTCAATTTTCTCTTCAACAGCGCAGAGTGTGCATTGAAAATTGTGTCATCAATAATTAATTGTCTACCATGGATGAACATAAGCCGAAGCCCATTTTTCGTCATGTTGAAGATTGCGAGACTCAAGAATGGAACCATCCACAACGTAGTTATGTCAAGTGGTGGGAACTTATCAATGGAGACATAACGTCAACAACAGGAATCATGATGGGTATTGCAGATGTGCCGGTGGGAGCTCCATCTCCTAAACGCGGGCATACTCACGATGCAGAGGAAGTGTACGTACTTCTTTTAACATTATTTAAGAATCCATTTGTTATTTTATTCATGCAGGTATTACTTCTTAAGCGGAACAGGAAGAGTTCACGTTGACGGCGTGGAAACAGATGTCAAGCCGGGTACATCAGTATGGATCCCTGCACATGCTGAACACTTTTGTCACAATACAGGCACAGAATCGTTAAAACTATTGTTTGTATTTGCCCGTGATAAGTTCAGTGATGTACACTATTGCTTTCCTGGAGAAACAGAATTCAAATCATAAGCATATTTCCTTTAAATTCATTATAGATTTAAGACCAATAAAAATTTACGTTTGGTATATCAAGCTTCTTAGACTGAAGTATTTGTTCACCAATCATTTCAGATGGAGGTGAAAGTTAAAGAAAGACCAACCTTCACAGTCTTACTTGATGCACGTGGTCACATAAAAGTCAAAGAGAGTCTTCCATTTTGTGTGAGTGTGGGTACAGGTGTTAGTAGAGAAAAGACTCGTCCTTATACCTCTCTCATCTACATCTGAAAAATTTTTCAAGTTGAAGAAAAATATAATCAAGTGGAATATATTTTAAAAATTTTACTGTTTACGAATATGCTTTCATATGTGGTTTACGCAATATTTTATGGCTAATCGATAAAAAATTCAATAGAAGTTTTTTTTTTTGAAAAGTTTTTACTGGCACATATAATCTTTGTTTCTAGTTGTATGCTGTAGTTAAATCTTATAGCTTTAATCAGTATGAATAAAATAATTTCTTGTGTTTTACGATCGAAACTTATAGTTGTATCAAAACTAAAATTGCATTGCTTTTGTCGCTGTCGAACTTAATTGGTCAATTACTTGATCTATTTGATATCGCATGAATTAGTGAAAGTGGATTCCGCGTTGTTACTTATTATTGTTTTGAGAAATATAATATATTTCATTTGAGATTTAATCTAACGAAAAAAGGGATGAGAAAAAATGGGCAATGTCAGCATCAACAGTGTAAATTTTTCTTGTATGGAAATATAATTACATCGAAGATGATATGGATGTTGTATATTGCTGAAAACTGTTTGAATAATATCATAAAATACTTTCAACTTGACATATCGTGATTTTTCGGCTAAAGATTTAGTTTTTTTTCTTTTTCGCTTCTTATATAGTGAGTGAGATAGGTCACAAAATGTTATGGCGGTTATATCATTCATCATTTTATTTCATTGAAAAGAATGTTTCTATTTTTTTAGAACATATAAATGTGCTTCGTGTAACCGAACCAATTTTTCCGTAATATAATACTATTCTATTGATTGTTTTATATTTGTTTTTATTCTCTCATATTTTTCTTAAAAGTTTATTTTTAATTTGAAGTCGTCATTGAGTATAATGATTAAAAAATTTCTTTTTTTTCATACAATAATTTATGTATATCGAATTATTGAAACTCTATGAACAATAGGCGCTCACAAAGAGTAGTGTATTGATTTTAGAAATTTTATACTCAAAGTACAAATATTTAATTAAACATATGTTATCTATGTATTCTTGTTGTTATTCAAAATAAATGACATCTATCGATAGAGTATATAGAAGAACCTACAAAAAAAAAGATTTTCAATGAATAGGTTTGGTTGTCTTTTGTTCAGGAAATCTTCTACTCCACTTTGACCACGCATAGTCTATTTTAGCTGGACAAGCTGTCATAAATTAGTCATAAACAGTTGTTTGATACTATATAAGAGACTAACATCGTCGTTTCAAAATACCTTGTTTATAATTTAAACTTTTGGTTTCTATGCAACAACTATTAAGGATAATACAAACGCTAGATGTCATTAAAACCAACTACTTAATTTTAGTTGATAAAAAGATTTTAATATCATAAATTATCTATATTAGTGATATAGTATTCATATGCTGTTAATAATAGCCTTCCAAAATGAGCTCTATCCTAAATGCATTAATTGTGCATATCTGATCATCGAGTATCAATCAAACAAAATATTCATGTGTTTCTGTTAGTGTTTGTATTCTCCAATAGCATTGATGTTGTTTGTCTCTGCGATATTGAGACAAAGATGATAATTATGCATTAAACTTCTTCTGTTTTCCATTCATTCTTAGGCCTGAGACAGACTGAAAAAAATAAAACAAATTAAGCAACGTGATTGGTCTATTTCGATTTAAATCGTCTTTTTGCGACGATTTATTCGTTAATTCAGTTTTAATTCACTTTGAATTAATCGGTCTGTTCGGGGCCTTACACACATCTCATTTCTGGGGATTTGCGCTGCAATAAATTTTTTCGACTAATATCCACATTCTGTTCAGATTCATTTCTTCTTTGCTCAAATCTTCAATAATTGGTATGCTGATTAGATCCGAAGCTCTCATTTCGAAATCAAAAAAATTAATTGACGAGAAAAGCTGCCAAAGACTTTCATCTTTTCACCCCTGTTTATCTCAATTCAATTTCAATAACCGTCCAAATCTTTGTATATCATGTCAAAGACAAGTACGTTCATTGATAAAAATTTTAACTTAAATAACAAATATAAAGAAAATAATATTTGTGACGAACTCCACCAATCTTTTAATTTTTTATTACAAAGTTAGTGCATTATTACTATAATACTAGTGTTTTATGTTATTTTAGTCTAAAAAAACATCAAGAAATGTACAATGGATGAGAATTGCAATACTGAATGAGTCACTATTACCTCTTTGTTAACCGATTTTTTTTCTTGCTATTACGAGTATAATATAAAACACTAGAATAATTTCTCTCAGCAACAGCAATTTTCCATCGCTTGTAATGTCTGGTTGTATTCATTGTAGTTATTCTTCACTAAGTCTAGCTGTAAAACGATTTTAAGTTTAATGAGTTCGCATGGAAGACACCAAAATAAGTTTTTCTTAAAATTGTCATAAAGAAGTGCTATAGGTTTACATTTTTGACCGAAATTTTTTTTATCAAGGGGGAACAGGCTGCTCATAATCACATGGTCATGGTGGGAGTCTAAAATGGTCAAAAAAATTGAACACGTGACTTTGCGAACTCACACATAGCTAAAATCCTCTTTCAAGTTTTTGAAGCTAAAGTCCAATGCTCATACTTTGAGCATTAAACTACATCATTAACCTTCAATATAATACCTCAAAACCAAAAAAGTCTTCATGCATTTACCATTGTTTCCTTTTATTCTTAGTCTAAACTTCATTATAAATTAATGATATTGGTTTCATAGAAATCACGTTCCATTTTAATACGAGAAAAAGGCTATTAAAATGAAGTTAGAGAAAATAATATTTTGTAGTATTGTGTAAATGGTTATGTATTTTAGTCATTAGTGCACAGAAAAGTTGATGATAATGAATGCGTCAATAAATACAAGATGCAATTCTTTCTGTTGTAGCAGTGAGAAGCAGTGACTTGATTTAGATTTTAGTAATAACTGATAAAATCTATTCTGTAGATGTATCAACATCTGGTATGGAATGACAATCTGCTCTATCTGTTTCAAGGACGGATGTGGGTGTGGGGTGTGAGAGAAGAGAATACCAACACCCATAAAGAGAAAAGCAAAAGAAAAATATGCATTGAAGGCAATATGTTCTAATTTGATCGTGACATACTATAATACACAGATATATATCAAAATTTTATTATTATTATAGTCTTAGTTGAAGTATGATCAAATGTCATAGAAAAATAGAGCATTATGTTTTATATCACTACATATAAAGAGAAGAGTTTTTTTTCAAGTTTTCTTTACAGACATAAAGTATTTCAATAATATAATATTTTGTATAATTAGTCAAACGGATAAATATATTTATAAATTTCACTTTTATAAATACCATTCGATGTTCCATGAGACAGAAAATTTTTGAAGGTTTTCCATCTCATGTGGGATTCAACATTTTGAAATATATTATATCACATGGGACAAGTCTTAGTAGTTCATTTCAGGAAAAATATTTTGTTTGTCCCATCCCTTCCCACGCAGAGTCATAGTGTTTATATTTCGTTTACCATATGTTTCCTAATTATTATACAAAGCTCGTCGTCCCTATTTTTTGCATACTAGATAAATTATTTATATTTCTTGTTCGTTATTTTGACATTCTAGTATATTCTTTTCACAATTGCACTACCAAATAAATATCAGTTTAACTACAAGAAAAAGAAAACAGAAACAACTGAATAAAGAACGAGAAATGTATCTATCGATAGTCGATGATTATTTGTAATCGACTATATATACATCGATAAATGCCGTCAGAATAGGAATGATGTGAAAAAAAATATACAATGTAGTCAAAAATAGTTTATCATATATAGTGGTTTATATTAACATTCACTTTTAGTTACTAATCGTTTAACATGACAATGCAACGATTTATCATACTATGTTTTTTAATCTGTCTTATCTATGGTAACCCTATCGATCAAAATCTTAAGTAAACAAACTTGTTTTTCATAAATTTACTACTTAATAATTAATTGATTTCAGAACGTATAAAATTCGTCAACAGCGAAGTATTGGTCTTATGAATTGGAAATCAGCTGATATATTTTTTAAACGACTTTATTTAAATGAAAATCAACACAATGAAATAGATACTCGAATGAAACGTTCAGAACCTCCATCAGAGTTACGACCAGTAGAAGGACCAATGAATATTGAACAATTACCAGCAATGTTAGCAGCAAGAAATGTTAAACGTTATCCTTATTCTCAAGAAAATGATCCTGCTATCATGTAAATAAATCTATTAGAATAGAAATTTTTATCATGTCTTATGTGTGTTTTCTTGTTCTTTTATTTTAGTGGTCGATAATAGATTATCTATTTAATGGAAATCCGGTCAAAAGATAAATTTGATGTGGTTTATATAGCTAGATATTGTGGAAATATCTTATAATAATTTTGTTTTCGTCTCATTCAAGTTCTATCTTCTTTTTTTTCTTATTTTGTGTAGCAATGAATGATTTCTTTGTTTACGAAAAAGATGTGTGCACCTTATGTTTCTTTGCAACTTAATACTAATCAATGATTACTTGTGTTCTTGATTCATTTAATAAATGATCTTTGACAAAGATGAATTATGTTGATTTGTTCTTTTGAATTAAATAGAAAAATAAAACAATATCTTTCACTTTCAATCACATAGAGTAAAACAAAAACAAGCATTATATTGTACTTCGAAAACTTAACTATTTAGCTAACACTAATTTAAGCAGGAAACAAATACTTGAGACAGAGAAAAACTGAAGTTTTGGCAAAAATCTAAATTTTTGTAAATAATCCAACGAAGCAGCTTCGAATTAGATGAAGAAATCATTCTATGGGATGGCTGGTCTACCATAAAGATATTCCAAACTTTCGATTGATTTCTATGAGTTCAATAGTCATGAATTATTCTCTGTTCTTGATTCGGTCAGTTAATTGTACATATTAAATTTTTATTCTCATCATATAAATCTTAATTCTTCTTCCAAAAAACAAACCATTGCGGATCTGATATGTCAGAAACTTGTTGAGCTCAACCAATACCATAATGGATTAATCGAAATCTACGGAGATCTCTTTGAATTTAATGAACTCTGCTAAAATACAGAATTCACATTTTCTCTTAAAATAATTCAATATCATGTCTTTTGAATATTGGAATGTATTAATACTTCTGATGAATTGGGATACTTATCTCTCATAAGATAGATCCTATAGAGACTAGTGAAAGGCTATGAGAATTTCTCCCATTTATATGTGACTATTTTAGTAAGTTTTTCAACAAAATATTGTTGTCTTCTTCATATACTCTTCAATATCGTATTTCGTGTTCAAAAAATAAGTATAGGACAGCCTGAACATTTATGAACACCGTCGGAAGCGACGAAAATCGTTCAGCACAAAACAGTGCTCATCAAGGAAGGGAGTCAAGCAAATAAAAATCCAAATATCAGTATTATGACTTTGAGTACTTCACGTTTTTTAACTAGATGATTTCAAATTTTTATTTTTGTTTATATTAATTTTATAACTAGTTAGTAATATATGCATTTATTTCTTTTCAAAATATTTGGTAGAGTACCGAGGAACACTTGAAACTTATCTCTTAATTCATAATGAAATAAACCATGTTTTTTTACATTCGATAGACAAAGGTTGTTAATCATAGAACCGTTTTAATTTATTGATAGTCATCTGTGCAGCTTCAATCATATAATTTATTCAAGTAGTGTTTTCTATTGATGTTCACTGAGCGAGGTTTTACTGTATATAAATAAATGCTGCTTTATCGCATAATAGAACTTCCCATATTTTGATATCTGGTGATTACAGTAGTTCTCGAAAGAAATTTTCTCTACAAAGTTTGAAGTTGAAAATTATTTTGAAAGATTATCTAATGAACACCACAATATTGTATTAGAAGCCTCACTAAAATGATCATGATTCAAAAAGAAAGATTCATGAACACAAGGTCGTTCAACTTTTCTCTAGTCTTATGTCAAAAGTAATTTATTGTTTTGTGAAGTTCCTTCGTAAGAAAGAAGAAACTTATCCGTGGTATAAAGTCTTTGATGATTCTCTTCTATCACAATCTATTCACGTAATCATCGAATTCATACTTGTTGAAATAGTTCGAAGTGAATAAATGTATTCTTAGACTTTTTTATGATGATAACTAAATAAGAATCGAAATAAAACGAAATCGAGCTTTCATAGAGATGTAGTAATGTGAAGAAACAGAATATTCATAAATTCTACTATTCTCTGTCATGAATGATAAAAATTGGCCAATTAAGTATTATTTATCTAACTAGATAAAGAAGAAGAACAAGGATCTTACATAATCTTCTTATTGAGAAGCATGAAACAATGTTCATTTCTGTTTTTTTCATCGATATATTTCATGGGTAAAGGAGAGTACCTTTTGGATACTAGTGTGAAACATACACATATACATATACAGTGGCTTTCAAAAATATCAAACCAAATTTATTTTCATTTTTTTTCGCTATATTATAGAAGCTGAATTCATGTCTTCACAGGGTTTAGCAAAGATGGAGAAAAGTCGAAGTCAATATTGATTCCGAATTCTTGTCATGAACATTACATCTTGTTAAGACACAAATTGAATTCCAAAAACAAGCACACCAATTTCTATAGTGAATAGCAAGAAACATTTTGTATTAAATCTGATTTATTGGTGAAATATCTAGTTGACTCCAATGCAGATCTCAAGGCGTCAACAACACTAAGAAGAATTCAAATAATGATTTGAGTAGAGAATTTTATCTCGAACAAGAATTTTCGAAGATAAAAATGATTACTAATCTTCCAAGGATGGTCTCTCTGTGAAACCGAAAACTAAGTTTTTTAACTGCTACGACCTGCAAACTAAAATTCTACTGAAGAAACCTAGAATGATAGTGCAAATAATTCTTTATAAAAACTTTACGAAAGGTGTAAGAATCAAGTTTAATAGAAATCGCAACGTATCAAGATGGATTCTATGGAAAAGCTTGCGAAAACTTTTCTCGTTGAACAAGTGTTTCCTTATGCCAGGTACTCTGTCTGTAGTAAAAATTTCAACTTAATCGGTTGTACCGACTTTAAGAATAAGAATATTAATGATTAAAAAAAAGGAAATGTGTGCTCTAATAAATACAATTCTATTATGTAGCTCCTAGGAGCTGAAAAACTTGGTTTTCGCTTTTACAAATAGCTTATCCAAAGAAGTCTAGCAATCATTTTTAAATTCGAAAATTCTTGNCAATGTCTCAAAATGTATGAAAAATGATTTTTAACGTGTTTTTGAAAGAAAATTTCGTTGTTTTTAAAAATTTGGTACACGAAAGTTCTTCAAAGTCTTACTATTTACTATCACTAAACCCCATTTTTCACGGGCTTTCATTTGGTATAAAATTCATGATATCTCCGATTCGAGATCATACTGTTACCCCCCTGGAATAATATTATTTACCACCCTGTATACTTCAATATTCATTGAAGATCATGTTTCACGATAGAATCAACATTAGTTTTCACACATATCAGTGTTGCATTTATTTAAACAGTACATATCCTTATGTTAGTAAACTTTGATTGATATTTCTTATGTCTTAGTTTTTCTTCCACATCATTTGACATATACTCATGTGTACAATCAATTTGATTTCATTAGTTTATTAAATATTGATCGACAATATTTACTTACTGAAAATGATCAGAGATATTTTTTTATTCTCAAAAGACAAAACAAACATTTGACAACTATTAGATGAAGGTATCATATTATAAATAAACAAATAGTTTTGCATTATATATTTTTAATTAGAAAAAAAAAACAAAAAAAAGTTTGTCACACATCACTTTCATAGTTCTTTGATGAAACATTTGCAAAGATAAATGTTCTCCCTAACAATCAAAATTTTCGCATAAGTTGTAGTTTATCGTACGTGTTTCATTGTTCCGAAGAAAATCATTTTTATATACAGTGTAGTGAAGAAAGATGTAAAATCAGATGTATTACAAATTCTAGTATTCTGTTTTGGAAAGCGGCGGGCAAATCAAATTGGGTCGATTAATATAATCGTCAAATTCATAGTTGAATAAACGAAAATCCACATCATAGAGATATTTGAGTTGACAGATCAATTCATCTGGCAAGGATGAATACATATGTTGATATTTCCATATTCTATGAGCTGATGAACTATTACGTTGCTTAGTAATATTCCAATCAGATAAATTGAGACGTTTTAGCAAATAGGTGAAATCTTCATCGAACGTTTCATATTTTCCAATAAAGTTGTATTTGAATTTACAAACTTGACAAATTGTTGAATACGGCTGCCAATGAAAGTCCATTTTAGCTATTACCTCTGGAAAATCAGTGTAGGGAAGAATATATTGAATAAAGTGTTCGAATGAAGGAATCACTCCATTGAACCGAACCCGTTTCAGCAATCTGTTACGACCACGACGCACATTAGGGCGCCAAAATCGATAACAGATTTGTAGGCGAAGCAAATCATATTCAGGTTCTGGCCACGCTCTATCTCTTTCGAGTGTTGCAATTCTTTCTTTATAAGCTGATGCCAAACGTTCAAATGGATGCCGAACAAACAAAACTCGAGTGTAAGATGAAGAGAATATATAAGATAGATTTGATAAAGATTTGAAATGAAGATAGGGAAAAACATTTTTTATACTAGCTCTCCAGGGATTTACAGAGTGAGAAGTAGATACATTATCTATGCTATCATATCGAAGAAGATTAAGATACATTTGAACCAATGAAGCAAGAGAAGTTGGTTCTTTTGTCTTTGAGATTTCGATTCCATCCTAAAATGAAAGATTTATATAGATTGTTCACAATATTGTTAATATTTATTCATCGTACCTCTCGAAGTTCATTGACAAGCAAAGAAATATTGGCAGATTGCTCTGTTCGAGTTATGTTAATATCAATATTTGCCCAATTGGTATTGATATGATTGCTGACATCACGAAAATGGGCATAAAACATGACTGAAAGAAGAGTTTTTGTCGCTATTTTTGGAAGAGCACAATACATCATTGATTTGGATTTTAGTAGAAGGAGAACCAAATCGAGGTTGCTATGTTTGCGCATCAATTCAGAAGGGCTATCATCAAGTATGTTGTAAGCTGTTGAGTGTGAATAATTACATCTTTCGTTAAATATTCTTGAACGATCTTTATAGATCATTGGTACTACTGAAAGTGACTTGTTTTTCATCGTTGCGATGCGCAGTAAATCTGATTTTTTATTGATGACAACGGAATCGTCATGAGACTGATATATGAGGA